CCAAAAAGGGCTTCAAAGCACAGTTCTTTTCAGGTGACTTGATTTATTTAGCTCTTCCCTCTCTCACCACTTCAGGCTTCGATGTGTCAAAGGGAAGAACCATAAACATGTCCTCTGTTCTTCCTCAGACAAAGACGAGTGCTCTAAGGAGAACGGGGGCTGTCAGCATGAGTGTGTCAACACCTTTGGGAGCTACAGCTGTCAGTGTAGGAGTGGTTTTGTGCTGCATGAGAACAAGCACGACTGTAAAGAAGGTATTTCACCACAGTTTTTCACCAGTTTGCTTAAATTTGAGCTCTGTATTAGCTGCTGACCAGATGATGTAATCCCCCCCCCCCCCTTCTTTTCTATTAAAGCCGGCTGTGATCACACTGTGAATAGTGTAAGTGGTATCATCACCAGCCCCAACTGGCCGGACAAATATCCCAGCAAAAAAGCCTGCACCTGGGCACTCACCACAACTCCAGGGCACCGCATCAAAATTGTACGTGCCACTTTCTCCCTCACTCATTGATCATTTTTTGTTTGTGTGCGGCCTATCAGAATGGTTGCACTTTTGAATTTACAGTAGACGTTTATGTTTACTGTGTTCTTGTCCTGTTTGAATAATTCCAGCGATGATTTGTGGCTCCCTCTTCTGTCACAGCTGGCATTGTTTGCGTAGAGCAGAGAACTTTGAACATAAGACGGTCTTCCAGACTGCGTTGTCACTGCAACCAGAAAACATGTCCACCGCTCAGTCTCATTCACAGTTTGGTTTTGTGACAGGCTTTCAATGAGATTGACCTGGAGGCCCACCTGGAATGTGCGTACGACCACATCGAGATTTACGACGGGCGAGATGCAAAAGCAAACTCCATCGGCCGCTTCTGTGGCACCAAGAAGCCCACGCCCATCACGTCCAGCAGCAACAAGTTGTTCATTCGGTTTTTCTCCGACAACTCTGTGCAGAAGAAAGGCTTTGAAGCTTCCCATTCTGCAGGTAAGGCCGTTAAAAGCAAAATCTATTTGACTTCTGTTAAGATAAGAAGATGTATTTAATGCTTAGTGGGACTTCATGCTCTGCATAATTTATCCTAAAGATATCATTGCAACGCATTGATTATTGGCTAAATGTTCTTCATTTTTTATTATTTTCTCTTGAAAACTGATCCGACTTTTTTTTCCCCCTCCAGAGTGCGGAGGTCGTCTAAAGGCTGAGGTCAAAACCAAGGACCTGTTCTCTCATGCCCAGTTTGGGGACAACAATTATCCAGGAGCGTCTGACTGTCAGTGGGTGATTTCAGCTGAGAAGGGCTACGGTGTGGAGCTCATCTTCCAGACCTTTGAGATTGAGGAGGAAGCTGACTGCGGTTATGACTACATGGAGCTTTTTGATGGGGCCGACATAAAGTCTCCACGGCTGGGACGTTACTGTGGCTCAGGGGTAAAAAAAAACATGTACTCTTTGTTTTGTTTTCAGTGTAAAAAGACGTCTGCGGTCTAGTGTTTAGGGATTAGTTTTGCTGTGAAGTAACTTAACTCAGTTGGGAACCGCCCAGAGCTATCTCTGAGTTTGGGAATGTTGCTTTGGTGTTGAAAACTCATCAGGGTCTCTGGCACTGCTTTAGACTTGCAAAAACAATCACCTCATGCTGATTTTACAGTTATGGTATGAAACTATGAGGCTGTCAGGGTTTAAAAACACGAGTTTCTTCAGGTCAGAGAGCAGCTCGATTCAATTTACATGGTTAATTAATAAGAGCTGGCCCTCTTATTATTCCGTGTTCCTATAAATCATCTGCTGGAGGGGACGTGGCGCCCTCAGCACCTTTGGGAGCAGTTAATCAAGTTTCCTTTTATAAAACAGAACTGACACCGTTCAGTCCAAAGTAGGGTGAAACTCATTTATGGCGCTGTCTTTTAGCCCGGGGGTTTTTCTCAGCACAAGCACACCAGATCTGGGCGTGCAATAAAAAATGGTCGGTGGCTTTCCTCTCGTGCTCCAAATCCCTTTGCTGAGAGTTATGGACCATTGTAGATACTGTATATTTTTCATGTTGACTGGCAGCTTTAATCAGCGCTCTGGTGTTTTTACAGTGGGGTGCAGCGGCTTTGGCTGCTTTCATTTCGCAGCGCCTGCCTCTGTCAGAGCCACGAAGCAGCTCAGCGAGCACCTTAAACCGCTAATTAGGTTTTTCAAAGTGATGTTTTCAATTAATTTTCATGTGGTATTTTGACAAAGAGTAAGGCCAAGTTTGATACTTTTTTCCCCTTTTTTTTCTTTTGTGCTTGCATAAAGCAGATTAACTCCCTTTGTGCTCCACTGGAAACAATTGGACTGGTGTTGTAGTGAAGACGGTGCTGAAATGTAGGAAGGGCTTTGTGTGGCTCTGCTCCACAGAGTTCTCTGCAGTGATACACCTGGCCCTAATCATCAGGGTATTTTTATATCCTCGCTCGATTATCAGCCAAATCCTGACTCAGATCATGCTGCAAAGGCTCAGCCTGAACCCTCAGTATGACGGAACAGGCAGTCAGAGCTCGCTCTTCACTGTCACTGGTTTGACCTCAGCTTCAGCCTGTGAGAGGGCTTTAGTTTTTATTGGAGGGAGGTCAAACAAGCAGAGAGCCACAACCACTAATTACCGCTGTCCTTTGTCCCTCCCCACAGCCTCCAGAGGAGATCTACTCAGCTGGGGACTCCATTGTGATCAAGTTTCGCTCTGACGATACGATCAACAAAAAAGGTTTTCATGTCCGCTACACCAGTACCAAGTTCCAGGACACACTCCACTCACGCAAGTGACCAGTGGGGGCCGGAAGGGGCCGAGTAGGGCAGAGAGGCAAACGGAGGGGCCCCCGGGGGAGGCGCCAGCCCGATGCTCGGAAACCTTCGGCCACCAAGATCAGTCAGACACGACACAACAGCCGCAAGTCCACCGACCGCACCTCAGCTCCTAGGGGCTCTAGCTCCCCCCGCAGACTGTGAGGAGTAAAGCCATTCTGCAGTACACCTTGTTTTTACCTTTTTATGGTTAGGTTTGGGGTGGGAGGGTGAACAACCGCTTTAGGCAGACAGCAGGGGAAGATTTATTGACCCATTCCTCTCCAGATGTTTTTGTGATTGATTCTGTTTCTTTTTTGGGTTACTTTATTTTTGGTCTTTTTTTTTTTAACATGCCTCCCAATGAGAGGCACAAAGGAAAACAGTGGATTCTCAGGACCTCTAGGAAGGCAGGCATCAGCTGGACAGATCCCTGCTTTTGTCGGGCCAAACCACCACGTCCAGGGGGAGGAGAGGAAGAGGAGGAGGAGTATGGGAACACATCCTGCACTCCTCAAAAATGACTCTCCTCTCCTCACTCTCATCCATTCGGTTCAAGGATTCCTGTCCTTAAGAGGATTGAAAGGATTCAACTTGAGAATTTGATACTGTATGTCAGTCAGTTGCATGTAATTACAAGCCGAGAAGGAAAACTGTACAGTGACAACACCAGCATTTGTAATTGGCATTGTCCTGGCAAGCAGTTGCAAGATTCTCATTGTTACCATTAACAAGGAAATTAAGGAAGCAGTTATCTTATTAAAGGACTAATAAATGAAATGTGGTCCATGTTTTCTGGTTGGTAATTGCTTGCCTTATGACTGGCTTTTACTGTACCTCCATGTATAAAGTAATGTGTTTGATCTTTCAAAGGGAACATGTGCTTTTCTCAGCTCGAACCAGTTAGCACTTTACAGTGAATTGTTCCAAAATCACGAGCTTCTAAAATTTTGTGAAATGCAATGCCAGTTCACTTATTTTTAAATGCATTTTAACTCTTATTCTTTTTTTTTTTATTGCTACATCTAGTTCCTCAGGCATACTTGAACATTGTGTGTGCCCTGTAACATGGGGTAAAATAAAGTATGACTTGTGTTTCAGTGTTGATTTACAGTTCAGATGTAAAGTAATTTCTCTCCAGAGAAAATGCCTTTTCTTGGTACAATGAAGTATTTCTCAAGAACCAAATGAGCCTGGCTATTTATTGTTATAGTGATTACATATTCAGTATAATGTAAAGGTGGAAAGGTACTGTTGAAGTTAGCTCCATCAATGCCTTCTCATGTATAGCCACTGGTCTATGTCGAATATACTTTGTTGTTCACTCACTCTTTCTCTCCATTCATTTGTCATTCGACACCATGTCGTATGAACGCCTAACGCTTTTCTTTGTTGTCTGACTTTTTATTCACAGCGATAATTTGGGCCTGCACACCAGTGTTTTGACATTGTAGTGATACTGGAATAGTACTAACTTGCTAACCGAGTGTAATTAAGGACACTTGCACTGGTTGCAGATCTGATATGGTACATGGCTATTTACAGAAAATGCTTGGGAACTCTAGCTTCACCTAGAGTGCACTTACTTAACTAATCTAAGGATTCATACTTTCACCTGAAACCATGCTCATGCTCAGTAATTATTCTATACAACGTGCGTTTCCACAATGAACAGTTGCACAGCAAACTGCTAGACCACCTGAGATTGGAGCCCCTACTTATTGTACTACAAAATACACTAATATATGCACAATTAATGATGAATATTGCTGAAATGTGCACATATATTATACATTTTCTTTACACGAAAGCCCCCTGCGACCCTACCAGAAATGAGCAGAACGGACAGTATATGAATCATCACTTGAACAACTTCAGTTTAGTAAATTGCTTTATGACAATCCTCCACAAAGGATTTTCCCACTATTTCCAACCTCATGAGCAGAAATGACACTGGATAACATTATCGCCTCCTTTTGTTTATAGGCAGCATAAAGCATTTATGTACTTCAATCCACAGTTAGATAGGAGCTATTCTCATGAGAAACGGCTTCATATGAATAGTTGATAGCCACTCAGAGATGCGACCCTGTAATTAGTATGCGAGTGTCAGCAAACAGTGACAGCTCTGCATCCCACTATGCTGCTTCTTTACATAATCATGCAGACACTAAAGAAAAAAACCCATCAAAGGCTTACTGCACCTGCTTTATTTGACATTCACAATAAACACACATATACAAAACAGAAATATACCGTTTTTACCAGCACTGAGTCAGTCTCTCAAGCTAACCATTATCAGGTTATATGATTTGATAAATGGCTCTTGCCTTCACTGCTGGGTAGAGCAGAGCTGCCATTGACTGGTGCTCAAGTGGTGCTCTGAACTGTGTGAGAGCACGGCGATACAGTGAGAGACTTTCAGTGCAGTTGAGGGTACACCTGAGGAGGTGCTGAGAGTGCTCTTTCAATCTGAGGTTACTATAAAAATAGAGACCTTCGAGCAATTAAAGATCTGAGCGGTAACCTTAAGAGAGATTTTGAACTTGTACAAAGGAGTGGCGTTCACAGGCTTTAGACGCACACGTGTGCTGGCAGCATCCAGGAGTTCAGAATGAGTGAGATTAGCACATGGATACAATTAGAAAACACTTCACAATTAACAAAGCATTGAAAAAACTGGATCATACTTTTTTTTTTTTTATTCCCTCTGCAGTGGAACATCAAAACCTCTGATGACTGGGGGGAAACAGTGGCATTCTGCACACATTTAACAGAGGACCAACATTTTAAAATCAACATTCCAATGTTTTAAGAGATGGCCACATAATGGTGTAAACTAGCAACACTAAATTGTCCCATCGGAGCTCTGCGTGCGGTCAGTGGTCAGGACAGCAGATCTCAGAACAGGGTCTGCTCAGTAGGGTATGCTGATGAAAACCGTGACTCAGCCGTTGTGTTCTGGTGCTTAATCATTCAATGCAGCTGAAGGTGAAACCAAACTCAAAGAAACAAAAACCAGATCAGCATGTAAATACAGAATGGTCGTCCCACTGCTGAGTCACACGCGTTAGGCTACGTTTTAGAAGAGACATCCGTGTGCTCCCTAATGCTCACCAATAATAACCGACACACACAAATGAAAGGAACGTCCACGCTTTTGACATCTTTGTGCTATGCAGTAAAAGATCACTTATTGATCCGGTAGTCCTCCTGAACAGAATAGTTTGCATACAGAGGAGCTCCTCTGTGGGACATCAGTGTGAGCCGACGGGCTGCAGGGTTTTACGTGCTGCTGACTAATTGCCACGCCGATGCCCCCAGTTGTTCCCCCACCCAGCACAGAGCCGCTCCCAAGGCCGCCGCGGCCGCCACCGTCAGGCTGGCCTTCAGCACGGCCGCGGGGTGTCTGCTGAAGCGGGCCGGGGCCAGGCAGGCCAGCATGGCCACCGTCACCGTCAGGGTGAAGAGAATAGAGACGGCGGTGTTAATGGCCACGATCTGGCCGAACTTGGCGAAAGGCACGATGACACAGAAAAAAAGAGGGACGGTGGAGATTGCCGTGGTGACGGCGCTGGACACTATGGCAACGCCCACATGGTTCACTGCCTCCAGAGTCCGTCTCTGCCTCTCTGCTGAGAGCTCCTGCAAACAAAACAGAGATTAAAGGAGGGATAAAAAAAAAAATGTTAGCGGACCACAGGAATCCACACTTTAAATAGTGCTATCTACTGATGAGTATTCAAGGCATTTTGTTTTCCCTTGAATTCAAATTCAAAATATGGATCAAGCTTATAATTGGGACTCCATTAACTATCAAACTATTGTACCATGTTCTGAGCAGGCATGGAGGGAATGTTCTCTCCTGCCAGCAGGTATCCCTCCACCAGGTGCAGACAGTAATCCACCGAAGATCCGACAAGTATTGACAGAGAAATCGCCTCCACTGCTCCCATTTCCCATCCCAGCCAATACATGACAGCCACCACCAGACAGATCACTCCTGTTAGACAAAAAAACCCCAGGCCCTGAATATAACAACGAGCAACACCACCAAACCTCGGATATGCGTTTTTCACCTCTTACCGATGATGGTTATGAGCACGGGGAGCAGGAGCAGAGGATGTGCCGTAAACACAGACACAGCTGCCACGCAGATGGCCAGAGACAGCAGGAGACTCCAGAGGGCACTCTCCACACCTACAAAGCATCAGAAAATCAGAATGATCACAAACACACACTCACTCCCTTTAGGGAAGTCATTTATTTGACACACACGTCCGTCCCCCCCCCTCTCTCGCTTGCCTATGATTTCCATGAAGATCTGCTTCCAGTGCTCGCATGTCTGGAAGCCTCGCTGCAGGGCGGAGGACTGGGGGAGGCCGGCCAGTTGCTCCTGGATGAAGTTCTCCCACTGAAGGAAGTCAGAGTATGTCTGAAAGGAAGATTTCCCCTTGTATGTAGTCTTGGGAGGGGAGAAGCTGAGAATTAGGAATGGCAGGACAATTCATTTTTGATGCATTCTGCTGAAAAGCTGGAAGCTGAAGAGACTTACAGACTCAAAGGCCATGGACAGCCAGCTGACCTTGCCTCCGTGCATTCCCACTGCACCATGGGAAAGCTGCCCGGGGAGGAGGTTGGGCTCAGGCAGAGAGTGGCACTCAGGATGGAGCAGAGGCAGAATAGACGATAGCTTGTTGCCTGAAGGCAACAAGATCACACGTTTGAAGTGCTTTTCCTCTATATTTCTAAAGTAACCTGATAAATATCTGAGGAGCATATTAAATATAGCTGTGAGTCACATATGTCTCATTGATCCTTTTGAGAATCTCATCCTGTTTATTTCTGTGCTTAATCGCCCTGATTGATGTTACCTGAAGGTAAACACTGAGCTCCTCCCGGTTTTACAAGCTGTCTATTTGCACCGACAGCTTTACAGATTTTGCAAAGATGGCCCATCTCCTGGAAAATGTCAAAGTCCGGATCCAGAATGATGCTCCCCTTTAGAGGAAAATAAAACACGTCAACACAACAAAACAACTGATACAAAACTGTAATGATGAGATGATACATCAGCCTCTCTCAGAGCTTTTCAAGTCTTGTTGACCACTCAAAGCACTCTCCACTCACAGCACCACTCACCCTTTCACACACTCAAATCCATCATTTCAAATCACAGGTGATGTGGGCGTTCGTTTCTTGACGTACGTGACACGAGTGAACCTCACCATATCGCCAATTACATGGTTATCCCTGTGCTGGCTTCGGTTGACTCCCAGAATCCCAAACACGACAAAAACCATGGCCCCGGTGTCGACCAGAGGGCGCACCGCGGGGCGGCCACACACACCACCGCTGCAAGGGTTGAAGCCAGACGTTTTGGAGGCTTTCGTTTTGGCAGCAGACGGGGGCTCTTTGAAAATAGAACAAGAGGAAAACCTCTGACCTCCGTTTGTTTAGACAAAGTAAAAATATCTACGACTGAAGTCGGGTCGGAAAAAAAAATCCAGCCAGTTCGTGCCAGCTTGGAAAAGCTGACATAACAAAGCACGGCCCCGGTCCGAAAGCCTCAATAAAAAAAGAGAGAGACTTTTCCCCGACGGGCTAAAAACCTATCGTTATGGTAACACTGCTGTCTGATGTAGGGGCCTGCTTGCTCACCGCCGGGCAGAGGGGCATAAAAGGTTCCCTGTGTGGGCCCATCAGGCCCAGAGAGGAAGCCACAGCCGGGCGGGTTGGCACACACTCGGCTGGGATGAGGTCTTAGGCGGCACTGAGCAAAGTACAGCCTCCTAAGGGGGGAAAAAAAAAGAGAATTTAAATGGCAGATTTATCACTGAAACCGCATGAGACTCTGTACTTGAGCACTGATCCCCCCCCCCACATCAGTCCACCTGCTGTTCTGCTGAGGAGACGCGGCCACATAAAAAGAGAACTCTGGGGTCCAACCGTGACGAGGATCACATGAGCCGGTGGTGATCATCCAGCTGGGGTTCGGCCGGTACACGCGGGAGACGCACACCGCCATTCTGGTGGTGTAATTGGCGTGGGGCTGACTGAAAACCTATTTAGACAGAACGCGATTAGTTTCGAGCTGCTCGGCTGCCGCATGTCACAGAGCTAATTAGAATTGAAGCCATTACGTCGCTTTCAGCTGCCTAACCTGAAAACGCGCCACCTCCTCGTGCTCGGCGCCGCACATTTTCCAGGGGGACGGGACGCTGGCGTTGAGTGAGAAGCGGTAAATTGCTGTTGACACTCCGTGGTCCAGCTTGGATATGTACACCGTGAGCAGGGGGCCTGGAGACCAACACACAACAACAGCGGCGGCCCGTGACACGGAATTCCAGCGAGGCGAACGGGGGTTTTTTACTGTGCTGCTCGTTTACCTGTTTGATTGGTGCTTGGGTTTGCTTGCGCCGAGCTCTGAGGAGCAGTTGTCGTCGGCGTGCTGGGGTTGTGCTGATGTGTGGAGAAGCGGAAACCCGACGAGGACGTGTGTGCGTACAGCTGGTGGGGTTTTTCCATGAAAACGCCTGCAGGATGAAACCGACAATCAAGCTATTTTCACTCGGGGGGGGGGGGAAATGCACGCGTTCGGGGTCCTGCAGCCGCCCCAACCTGAGCACATGGGGCAGGAGATGCCCTGCCCGCTGAGGTTGCTCCGCAGGCCCAGCAGAGTCTGCAGGTTGGTGTCTTGGCGGAACAGCAGAGGCGCGTGAGAGGCCGGCCTCAGGAGACAGCAGCAGCCAGCAGATAAGACAAGGACCAGGAGAAAGATACCTGGGTTGTCAGGAAGATAATGATAAACAATAGCAGAGAGAGGGTTGTGATGGGAGTAGACGGAGCACCTGAGGGACAGAGAGGCGCATGCATTACCTCTAATTGGAAATTGCAGCGTTTCTTAAATACACAAGTAGACCTACGAGTAGTTACACTTATGTCTAAAGCAGAAAGCTCTGCACACACAATCTGAAAGGAACGATTGTGAGAATTTTAAGTTTTTAATTATTAAAAAAAGCACCCCACAGAGAGCTCACAGTGAGCTTGTGTTAGCCTCACCCAGGACGGCTTTCCGTAGCTTCACGGCTGGCTCGGCCACTAAGTGCTTCAGGGCCCATTGGAGTTTAGTGCTGACCACACCCACGTGCCGCTGCCCTTGAGGGGACAGAGGTGTCTCCACTGACAGCGACAGAATGGCTGCATCACCGTCTGTGTCACAGGAGCCTGGCCAAGACAAAGGGAGGGGCCCTCAGTGGTGTCTGAACACCTGCATTTTACAGCCTGGGCTCATTTCCCTTCCAATTCCCCCTCCCCCCACCACTGTCCATTCAGGTCGAATAGATAAAAATCTCACCAGGCTCCATCTCCACAGAAAGAAGCGCCACATCATCATCCTCATCTGACAAAGGGCTGTGGCTGGCTGACAGGCCCGAAAACCACTTCACGCTTCGCAGGGAGAAGAGTTTCGGGGTGAGAGACAGCTGGAAAGGATCGCATCTCAAACCAAGCTGCTGTTTGGAATGCACAAATAGCAGCTCACCAGGTCAGCCAGGCATGTTCGCGAGGCTCCATGTGCTGGCTCCAGATGCACAGGGCGGCCGGCATCAGGACCGACACCCAAAGCCAGCAGCAGCTGACGATGAGGGCCATGAACAGGCCGAAGTCGTGCACGGCCGGGATCTGAGAGTCAGTTAGACAGAGCGCTGCGTAAAAGACCTTGAAAAACAGAGATTGTGCTTACGGCGTGAAAAATCGCTGTTTGCTGAAAGAGGCACTTCTGTTTATCCGCAGCAAAGGAGTCAATTACACTCCTCACAGAGATCCAATTAAACGATGTGCTTCTCTTCCAGTCATTACCTGAGAGAAGGTGTTAGCGGCATAGGCAGCAGCTGTCGTGAAGGAGGTTAGAAACGTAGCCCTGCCAGCTGTTTTCATCGTGTAAATCATTCGCTCCTGTGGCTGATGCAGATGAGACGCCTGTCTGAAGGTGCTGATGAACACAAACACATCGTCTACCCCTGAAAAACAAAGAGTCGAAGTAAGAATAGAACTTAAACGCATACTGTTTTTGTCTGGAAGGAGCCAGTAGAGGTGCACGGAGACATTTTCCACAAATTGTGTTAGTTTTTGCTGTGTGGCATCAATGTTTTTGTTGTAAATCTCCACAATAACATCAAATAAATGATAAAAGTGCTTTGACTTACCAATTCCAATAATAACAAATGCCGCAACTCCATTGAGAATGCCCAGGTATCTCACTCCAAAGACTACGTGGTACAAAAAAAGAGCCATCAAACAGCTCAGTCCGATGCCAGCCAGTCCGAAGAAAGTCAGAAAGACTTGAAAGAGACAGAAAAGAGAGCATACCAACATCCACATGTACTCAACCTCACCCTAACACTTCAAAAACGAGATCTGAACACATCAGTGTCAGGAAAATAGCTATAAAAAAACAGCTTAAACCGTACCAGAGAAAGAGGTGAGGATGAAGACCAGCACAGTGATGCAGGCTCCGCTGATGAGCGCCAGCATCATGTCGTTGTAGAACGTGTGTCTCACTTCATTGTCAAACAGCTCTGTTCCCCCGTACAGCACCTTCACCTGACTGACACACAGGGTGGAGATAAAGAGAATCAAATGCTTCCACAATGTGTCAGGCGCCTTAAAAATTAAAGCACAACCCAAAGGAACGAGACGGCCCTGCAGTACAGGAGTGCGTCTGACCTGGTGGACTGTTTGGATAGTATGTCTGTGTACTGGACCACAAAGTTTTTGAAGCGGGTTCTCTGCTCGTCCGCGCGGTCCTGCAGGGAATAGTAGGACGGCAAAGGGGCGCCGAAGTGGATCTCGCTGCGTAGGAGAGAGGACGAGAGACGCTCGGGGGACAGGCTCTCGTCCACGTACCAGTAGAACTGTGGGTGGGTGATGGCCAGACTCAGAGAACCTGCAAGGCACGATTCGTCAAATCGTCAAAACGCCGGGGTCAGACTGTCACCGGAAGGCCCGGATCCTGTTCGACCTACCTTGGATATCAGCCAGATCTGGGCCCATGCCATCGTAGTATATCTTCCCCCCTCTCTCGCTGGGGTACAGATAAGAGAGGAGCGAGCTGGGCGGGGAGCAGTAAGACGGCCCCAGAGGGAGGTCCCTCAGCAGTTCCATGGGCTTCCAGCAGAACTGGTGAAACTGGGGCTGCTGCATGAGCAGACGCTCCACCTGGTGAACCGTCTGCAGGCGCTCCGGGGTGAAGATGTTACGGTCGCCCGGGCCCCGGGCCACAAACACCAGCTCAATCCTCCACAGGGCCTGGCTCTGCATGTAGTAGTTGGGAGCATACCTGCGCGTCCTGGTCAGAGAAAAAGGGGGATTTCTGTCTCGTGGCCTCTCCTTTTGGTCCTCTGCTGTGCGGTTTGTGCTGCTGTGTCTCTGTGCTTCCTCCTGACTCAGACCAGAGCCTGTCCCCGTACGTCCAGCTGCTCTCCTCTGCTGGTCTCCTGCAGGTGATGTGCTGTTCTGACCCGAGGAGCCCCTCACGCCCTCGCCGTCTGTCCCGTTGACCCCCCCCTTTCTGCCCAGCTTCTCCAGCAGAATTTCCTGCAGCGCCTCAGACTCCATGTCATCGATGTCCCGCCGGCGCCGGTCCCAGGAGCCCAGCTGAGTCTTTACGGCGATGGTGAGGGCGTCAAAACGCTCGGCCGAGAAGTGACTGTGGACCTCGAAGGCACTGTAGGAAAGGTCTATGTCCAGAGGGGGGCAGTAGAGCAGCATGTAGGCAAACAGGGCGCACGGCAGCAGGAAGGCCACCCCTAAAACCACCCCGCTGGCCCAGGGCTTTGTGTAAACCCAACCCACCCCCCTCCACATTCCACAAGGCCGCGCACTCCCGGAGAAGCAACCCCGTCCGGCCGCTCGCGCCCCCCCATCCGCCTCCTCTTCCTCGTCCTCCTCCTCCTCCTCGCTACCCCAGCCGGTGTGAAAAAGCAGGGGCTCATCCTCCACCTCCATGATGGCACCTGTCACACACATTACACATTACACCACTTGGTCGTTACTCACTTGAAGCTGTGAGCTTTTTTCTCCACTCGGGCAGATGAAGTCATGCACGAAATAGATGTTGGAACTAGCAGCAGCTGACACAGGCATCAGACAAAATGAAGGACAGGATGACTCCCAAAGTTGCACTGAGCAAGCAAGGGCAGGAGAGAATTAAGTCTGTCCCCAAGCAGCTGTTGACAAAGGCCCTCAGCCGGCAAACTCTTACGGAGGAAATTAAAAGGAGGAAGGTTTCAAGGGCTTGTGTCGGAAAAATGGCTGTCAGGCTCCCGCTTTAAGATGCTGCTCACAAGAGCTTGGGTTGAGATGAATTCTTCCCCGTCCTCTGTCAGCTATTATCACCTGGAGAGAGTCCACCATTTGCACAAAGAAGTTGTGCTGCTATTGTCTGTGTTGCATCAAAGGAAATCATCTCACTTGCCTGATTACTGACAAGAAGAGTGAGTGGCACGTTAGAACAACATCAGGTTTATCCTCTGTGATGGGCAGACATTGACTAATTGTCGATAGATGCCACTTCACTCTACTCTTCTACCTCCAGGACACTGCAGACAGATTGCATTCATGTGACAGGGAGTGTGTAAAATGCAGCAATTTGTCTAGTCTCTTTAGAGCAGAGCTCTAAGGTAAGCCAGGTAAGACTCTGGATTGTTTTAGTATGTGTGAAAGACAGCAGCACCACGATTTGTAGCTGGACTGAAAATTCTCATGTAAAAGAAATGGTCAGTTTCTAATGGTCAGCCAAAGTATTAAAAACAATTAAGACTTTCCTTTCTGACATAAAAGCAATTGAGTGACAAAAGAGAATCCTCAGAGGGGTTCCCTGAGGATAAAAATTCATTTCCAGCTCGTCGATGTATGGAATTCTAGTTTGCTCTCTTACACATCAATAGCGTTTAAACCATTAAAACGGAACATGTGCTCAGGTCTGCAGCAGAGGGTCACCTGGTGTGGTCACTAAACCACAAAGTCACCATTCGGTTCAGGTCAGGATGTGTGTAACGAGCACATCATTAAAAGATTTCCCAAGACAGCCTTTGATGCTAAATGTCCAAAGCACCGCTAATTTGTGCTAATGTGTGCTAATTTAGTTTTTCTCTCGGTTTATTCCCTTGCGGTGGAGATGAAAACAAAGATCTCAGGTCCTCGTAAGAAGAGTTAGAGTCTGAAGAAAACTTGCCATTAGCATCTAATCCTCCAGCTCAGGTTAAAATGTCAGCACACTGCAGTGGCTAAATTGCCTTTAAAAGGTAAAAGCAGATCAGAAAATATGAAATCATTGTTGTATTGTCGTCTACCCATGTTACTGCTAGATATAATTACCACAACCTACACCAGAGAAAAATATTAATTAGCTGACACAGACAACATATGTCCATGTGGAAGATGACTTTAAATCTCCAGACAGACAATAACACTGAATAGAGCTGCAGATTTGAATAATTAGAATTCTTTAATCTTGTTCTGTTTCATCTCTCCTTCTCTGCCTCATTTTGATGATGGTACTTTCATCACCACAAGACGAAAGAAGGCACACAGACAAGTGCAGCAATATGATGAGAGGTGTGGAAAGGAAATAGAGGAGAAGAGAAAATTGGCAATGGCTGAAGATATAATACACACACACACACACACACACACACAGACACACACACAGACAAACTCCACACAGCCATTATCCATACAAATAACCACCCTGCTCGAACATCTGTGAAAGAACTTGTGCTTTTCTGCTGTTCAGCAACGGGGGGAAAATGAACAGGTATAGATTTGCTGCAGTATTTCTTTTGCCGCTTAGACATCAAAATAGATGATGCAAATGGGAAATCTGACAGAGCAGGAACTCTGCAGAGTCTGAAGGGCAGATTTGGTGCTCTTTGTCGACCCTTTTCTGTTTACACGTGTCTTGCAGCATCCAGCATGCAGGTAGAGTTCCCAGATAAGTGAACTGATGCGCAGCCTTTCTTCTCTTCTTGGTTAGTCTTATGTTTCTTCACATTCAAGAGGAGCACAGCTCGTGCACAATTATTATTGCAGCTGCGAAGCACCGCAAGCTGTGCAGAACCCGGTATAACTAATGTGTTTACAAGCCGGCAGAATTGTTCAACATTGCTATTTTTCTGCACAGATTATGAGATCAGGGTCGATTTACACCCTTTGCAGGTGTGGATTAAAAATAGAGTTTAATTTGGCACCCTGCATTTGTCGAAAAAATGTGTCTGCCTTATGGCTCAATTTCTATTGAATCTACATAATTCAGAAAGCAAAGCTTTTTTTCGCCCCTTTTTTGTCTGTAATGCAGTTTCATGTTTGAAAAGAGAGAGAAATGGCAGGAAAAGAAGAGAAATGTGAGCAGGTTTTAGAAAATGTAAAACTTATATTAAGCTGATAAAAACAAATGCTGCTCTTTATGAGTAGTAAGTGAATAGACAACTTTGGAATGGGGACTGGACCAAATGTTTTCATGTGCGTGGATTTTGAATAAATAAAGCTATTGGGACTCTTGAACTTTTCATGTTTCTGGGGCAGAATGACGAAAGTGAAAAACTGCCTGTGGTGCACACATATTAATATGTTGTTGATTTATTGAAGTAAACACGGGGTCAAACTTTAACACGGCAGCTCGAAAGCCAAAGATAAAGTGTGTGTAAAACAAATGAAGACACAGCCTTGTGAGAAAGGTCATGGTGATCAGTTTTTATCTGGGAAAGCTCTTCAGAATTTTAGAGAAGGTCTTTAGGAGCCATTTCCCAAGAGATGCAAAATTCAAGGTTATTCCTGAAACTTTTGGAACCAAATAACATTTCCTATCCCATGAACGGCAAGCAGATGGTGCATGAGTCTCACTAACTGCATACAAGAATGTCTTTTTTATGGATTTGTGGCCGAGGAATGAAGCCATTATTGCGACTTCAGGCTCGATCAAAATGTTCACATGAACACAAAGAAGAAGACCATTCTTCTGATCATCAAATATTGATTGAGTTGTCTGGCTTAAATGAACCATTAAACACTATATGGCCCTTCAAGATGAGGCATGGTAGTTGAAGCATCATGCTTTGGGAAAGATAGTACCAAGTAGTTGCAATTTTAGAGAAGCGGATGGTATTTTTTATGTTTTCAACATCATGTAAACTGTTTTTGAAGTCAGATCAGAGCCTAGAAATCAACTATTTAAAATATTTAAGATATCTTTTTGTGTTGCCTCCCAAAGCGCTGGAGTAAGTGATTAAAAACAGCATTCCTTGTCTTAGATATTTGAAAGCTCCAGTCCAGCAAATTCATATGCAGAATAAAAACTGAGATGAGTAGAGCGTTTGTGTGTTATAGTCCTCCTCTACATGTCTAAGTTTGGGCAGTGTGGGTGAGGTGAGAGCCTGCTGGGACACCCAACCTTTGACAAATTGCATTCTCTCTCCACATCTTTGCCAACCCTCCATTTGCTCTCCGGCTCACACCTCACCATCCTTCTATTTTGCTGCCCTTTCTCTAACTTTCCTTCAAAGGTGAGAGATTTGTAACCTTTGCTATTGACAGCAGCTAAAAATATCCTCCTCCACCTTTGATTTTTTTTTATCTCCCCTCCATCTCATCCAGTATGGAGATCACACGCTGCCCAGTGCCCCACACACTGAGCCTGATGTAAACTCAGCCAAAATAGCACCCCATTTAAAGGGGCATTGATTTCACCACCAGTGCTCTATGAATATATTTCTTATGCATGAGCCTCCCACATGTGTTTAGAAAGGATGCACCCTATATTCTTTCAGTCCAACTCTCAAGCTCCATCTGCCCCTAAAAGAGGGGTTTATTTTTCTCATTGTTGAATCGTTTTTGCTCATAGGGAAAGAAGGGCGAGACTTCAGGATGCTGGTAATGAAGCATGTCATTTCTGGGACTCTTTAATAGGAGGAGTTGAGGTGAAGAAGCCTCTACCTGGGCTGACAAATGTTGACATTTAATCCCGCTGGCAGCAGAAAAAAACACTCAGCCCTTTTTTCTTTTCTTTTTTTACAACTTTTTACTGAAATGTAGAGGAATTTATGGACTTTCATTTTCTAGACAATTGAACAGCCTCATCAATTAGAGAGCCCCAAAAAAAAGAAAAAAAGGAAAAAAAAACAGATCAGAGCAAAATTTCTGCGGCATTGAGGAGAGACTTACCTGATGAGAGGAGAATTACAGGTGGAGCGCTCAGGCCTGCTTGGTCCACTTTTATTGTGCTGAACTTGTGCTCCTTAGTTTCATCTGCTCCATGAGCTGATATGAGAGAGACAAATAATCAGTTACTGCTTCAGTGTCATAGTTAATAAGTCATCAGCAGACAGATAAACCTTGGAAGCCCTCTGAGGAGTATGATACAAAAAGAAATCCACTTTCCTTCTTCACTCTGCAAGAATCCTCTAATCTCAGCAGTTCATTTTGTGTTGTTTCCTCTTCTTTTATTCTCCCCAGTATTTTCTCTCCCTCTCTGGTCCTCCCTCCCCTCCTTTCTTACCCGGTTGTCGAGGCGACAGAGTCAGTGAGAGACATGTCTTCCCAGAAGCTCCCCTCTCTCTCCCTCTTTCCCGTGGCTTTGTTCAGCCTGTTCTGCTGAATGGCTCAATAGTGGATGAAACACAAGGAGGCAAACACAGCTCCAAAAGCCCTGTGCAGCCCTCACGGCAGGCTGAGGCAGCAGGAGGGATCTAATCCCTCCACAGAAATGTTAGTTTGCTGGGAATCAGCCATCATACAGTTAGTTTTCGATGACTAAAATGATGTAGTTTTTTCAGTGCTGTAGCCGAGCCCCCTCCCATCATGTTGAAGTTGGTATGGTCTAGTCCATTCTCAGTTGGTGGGGTGTGTTATAAAAGGGTGATCAGAATAACTGGTTACAGTGGGAGAAAAAAAAAGAAGCAATTTAAAATAATAACCTGATATGAGTTTATTAGACATGGGCTCATTCTCATCTTCGGCTCTCACACCAGATTAAATAAAGCTGTTCCATCCAATTCTCTGGTGTAAATGCTTTTTGGCTGCAGTGTGTGCAGCCCCACTAATAACATTGTGGAAGATGTAAATTCAGCTCTGATTTGACTCGTCACATTTGCTATTATTTGCAGCCCCCCCCCCCTACAACAAATGCATTTTCTTGGCTGTAGCATCCACCATTTCTCCCTCTCATCTAACATTAATGAGAGGTCTGTAACACATCCATCCCCACAGTTTCTAACGCCTGTGCACGCTTAACTTGCCTCACCATCAAACATTAACAGTCCATCTTCTAAATGGGAGCAGGTAACTCTGAGGAGGGAATTTGCTATTTTTGCAGGAGTTGGTGCAGCGTGGCGTCAGAAAACAGAGAAAACACAGATCGGGACGCTTGTTGTGACCCTGACAGTTTGTTTTAGTGCGGCAATCCTTATAAGGACACACAGCCTTCATCTAAACTGTCTGATCAGCCTCAAATACACTTGTGATCAATTAACTCAGTCTGATAACATCTGTTGCATCAGCGTGGGTTAAAAGCAGATTCATTAATATCGACCTGTCGTTGCAACCCAAGATTTCTAATAACCATCAAAAAGACTCTTGACCATCTTTTGTTACAGTTTAATTTAGTCTTTCAGCACCAAGCAGACTTTATTGAACAAACATGTGTCACAAATATTGGCAGGCAAGAACTCAGAGGCAGTAGACGCAGTATTATAAGCATTTAAATAATACAAAATATACAGCTCATTCATTTCCAGACGTACTGCTGAACACCCACATGCAACCTCAACGGGGTTTTCAGAGGGACAGACAGACTGACACAGAAGACACTCTTCCTGAGAAAACCTAATTTGAAAACATAACTACATATTCAGCTTATGAGAAGGGGTTTTGATCAAAGACGACTCGGTAAAGCCAGGACCCAACAAATAAATCCTAATGCAGAATCCTACACATCTGGTAACATTACAGTTTGATTATGATTGGCACAGAAGCAAATGGCTCTAAATGAATTCAAAATCTTTGCTGACAATTGAAAATGTAAAACAAATCTGCATGCGGGAAGTACCTACTCACAATTTATGCTTTCCGGGGGACAGTTTGCTGACATGGTTAAAAAGAGACAACATGGAACCCCCCCCACCTATTTTTTTTTTTTGACAGCTGACGCAAGTGGATGATTGAATTGAAGAAGTGAAAAGATGCTGCCACCAGGGTCTGAAATCAAACAGCCCCAAAAGGTTCACCAATTCCCTGGTATTTACACAGATTTAAGTGTAGCTGTCCATCTCAAAGCCAGGATGTTAAATATATGCGACAAACAGTTAGTTATGGATATGTATCGTGGTGTAATGCTATGCAAAAGTACAAATGGGGTGATATGTAACAAGTGAGTTGAAAATAAACCTGAGAGTGATTAGCACTACAGGGCTGGAAAAGCAATCTGCAGTCATCCAGTGATCTCTGAAAATGACTACACTTTGTCTTCAGCGTCTCTCTGCAGTCAGCAGGCGGAGTTTGGTTTTCACTTTATTCCATCTCTGCCACGAAAAGGAGATTAAAGTTGAAATTGAATCCATCAAGACTTTAGCACCTGCTAAAAGAGGCTCAGAGGAAGCCTGGTTTTGGGAACATCTTGAGCAGTTCAGTGTGAAGACTTGTTGGTAAGAAAAAAAAAAAAACAGCACACACCCTGAAGCTTTCCTTAAATAATTCACATGATATTACAGCAATTTCACGGCTACATCAAAGTTCTTAAAACACTACACCTTGGATGGAAAACAGATTTTGTTCGTGGCTGCGTCTTTCACAACAGAACAACATGAATGTGCTCTTGTCATTGGTCCATGAGAACAATGCGGTACTGCCACACACACTTTCTCTACAGTAAACTCACACACACTCTCGTTCTCTCAAATCCCTCCTCAGACAGGGAACTGTTCATTTCCTCTGGTTACCACAGATGGGTCTCCCGGATCTCAGCGATGATGTTATTGGCTTTTTTAAGTGCCTTTAAAAAAAAAGAAGAAAGACACAAACAAGCAGAGAGGCTTTAAAATCAGGGACACTTCCAAAGGGTACAGAACTCTCTGTTCATGATCAAATAGAAGGGACAATCAAATTCTTTCCGTCTCACCTCGAGCATCTGGGCGACCTCAGTCCTCTGCTGGGCGGTGTCCTGTGACTCGATGAGCAGCTCCTGCAGCAGCTGCTGCTTGTAGAGCTGACCCACCAGCTCGCTCTGCAGATGCTCCTTCACGTGGTTCACCAGGAAATGCATCACAGTCTTGGGCACGCTGCACACAAACACGCCCGATTCAAAAAGCCAGAGAATGACCGTCACTTAGATCTGAGCCTGATAAAACCACCCTGGGGGCGAGCGGGTGCCCTCTGGTGCTTTGGAAACCAAACCTGTCTTGGATGCTTTTGCGGACGATGAGGAAGTAACACTTGATGAGGCGCTGGATGACTTCACAGTCCCTCTGCTCCCGGGCGCTCAGTCTGCGGGAGGTGGGCACTGACTGGTAGAGAGTGTGTAAAGAAAAACTCTGACGGCCTCTGTTGGCCTTAATTCCTCATTTTTCCCCTCATATTGATCCCAGCACTCACTGTGTCGAGGAGGTTAATGGCCTGGCCTTTGCTGGGGCTGCCAAAGCCTGTGGCTGGAGCCTTTTCTTCCGCAGCCTTCTCATTTTTCCAGCGCTTTCCTCCATCGAGGGCTTCTGCCTGAGAGGGGGAAACCCAAGGAAGTCTGAGTGGGGAAAGCTATTTTATCTGAGCCCGGAGTTCCACTTAAAATGGGTCCGGGTTTGGTTGTGAAGGACTCTGCTGCAGGCTTTGCAACCTCTGTTCACTCTGGCTAAATGAAAGATAAGTATTTGCTGTAGGAAACACAAGAAAGAGCTACCTGCTGACTGTTGACAGACGCAGAGACCTGCGCTGCATCTGTGAAGTCCGGATGCTTTGTGTTGATGTAAGCGAGCTCGATTGCGACTAAATTGTGCACCTAGGGCAAAAACAGCAGAGAAAACACGCCCGATACTTAATAAGACATGGTTTTTAGAATCCTTATAACAGCTGATCTGATTGGAGCCATGGATTACCATTTCATTAGTAATGGGCAAGCGCTTCCTCAATAATCCAGTCACCACTTCAACAATGGAATCATTCAGTTTGGGGAATCGGAGAAGCTCCTTAAAAACACAAAGCATCATCACCATTTCAGAGGAGCGCCCTTAAAACGAGGTCTTAGGTGCATCGGCACCTCCTGGCTGACCTGAGTGCTGAATGAGGAGCAGTGCTGGATGATCCTCTGCAGCTCCTCATGGACCAGCTCCACGCAGCGCATGCTGGGCTCCTCCAGACGCTTAATCTGCCGCTTCACCAGCAGCTCGAAGGACACCTCGGGCACAAACAGAGCTGGTCGCGGACCCTGCGAGGGGGACACCCCGACAGCTCCTTCATTTGCTCACTGTGGCTCGAAATGAGCAGATTTGACATGGATGGGGACTGAGAGGCTGACCGTGGCGTTGCGGATGGCGGTGAGGATGTCCAGGTCGCTCAGGCCGCCCAGGGGGTCGATGGACTGCAGCGTGCGGCCGAAGGTCTCGTGGAATATGTAGCAGATCCGAGCTCCTCCGCAGCTGCACAGGAGACAGGCTGAGCTGCGGCACTAGTGCACTTTCTCAGCGCTGAGCGTCAGCTATCTTAATCGAGCCCAAATTAAATGCAGTCAACCAAAAAGGTCAATATTTGCTCCAAACATTTTCAGCTAGAATTAATCGTCAGGCAGTGAAGGGGATGAGAGGAGATGAAGGTGCCAACAGGCGATGCTGATACCAGTTTAAATTATACTTAAATTACCATGAGGACATCACCGTGCACCAAGGGCGGTATAACGCTGACTTATACAAGTTAGAGTGAATTACTTATACAACCCCGCCGACAAAAAAGTCAGCACTTACTTTAAAATATACATGATGCCTAAATACAATCAAATGGCCATTTTTCATTTCAAGCTGACAAACTTCAAAATAGTGACAGAAGCCGGTTTTTCATTGTGTGGCATCATTTTCTGGTTCAATTTTAACATCAACCGCTGAAATCTGAAGAGTAAAATGTTTTCCTGGGATGCTCAGAGCTTCTATAAACTGTTAGTTTATAAAAGTTCAAAGGAGCTCCGTCTAAATCTTGTTGACATTTTTGGCTTTCGTTGCATGGTTTGACGTGTTTTATTTGTGGATGCAGAAATGGACTCAACTAAATATCTTAGTAAATACACAGGGGTGTTGACCTCCAACAGACTGTACTTCTCTTTTTATACTCACTTATATGATCTGATCTCTGATCTGTTGCCTGAGATATTACAAAAGATTTTTTAAAATGTTTTTGGCACTGGTGACTTTTGTTTAAAAGTTTTCAGGCTGTTCAGAACCACTACTTCACCTCGAATGGATAGGTTTTGGACTATTGATGGAAGCTGGAGTACCAACGTGTGAAAATTTCAAACACCCAGTTATACTTAAAAACAATAAAGAACAATCAAATATACCCTGGAACTGAACGCCAAGGCCGAGAAACAAAACACAAACATACCACAAACAATGCTCATTCAGGGATCTGCGGAAGCGCTGAGGCTGGGGGGGGGGGGGGTGTACTCACAGCTCTGATGTCTGTATGTATCTGGCTGTTCCCTCGATGGTGTTGCAATAATCACTCGCAAACTTGGTGACGATCTGCAGCAGAGTGGCGCTGTGGTCCTCCACCGGCTGGCCGTAGCTGTTGAGCCGGGCCTGGTACTGGGCACTCAGCACAGTCACTCGCGTTTTGAGGTCTGGCAGGCAGTCCCGGATGTGGTGCATGAGCAGCCTGCTCAGGGTTTTGGCCAGGTAGCGCGAGCCAGCGCGGGACGCCAGAGAGGGGTAGTGGCGCTGGAGGAAGGCCTGCTCATCCCTCATGGAGTCCTCCAGACTCTTCTGGGTATTGATGTCATGCTGGCTCCTGGTGGGAACAAAAACAGTGGGAGTAAAGCATTAATGTAGTATGGACATAAAACAGACACGGCTGATGAGCTTCAAGTAATAAAAGAGATTAGACTTTCAAACCTGTTAACGACCCCGATAATGCCCAGCTTGACAGGAATGACACGACCCAGAAGCACTTCCAGCGCATCAGTGCCCGCATCCATGAGGTCCAGTTTACTGACTACCAGCAGCGTCCGACGACCTGCCGGACACAAGAACAGGGCTCACGGGTTCATTATCACCAGCAAAATCTGGTGCTGCACAACTGAACACAAACCAGCGACATTTCCCTGTTGTGACAGCTGGCAGTGAGCAGGGGGAGCGTTTTAGGCTCGGATACAGAGATGCTTGCACACAGCCACTAACCACAACAGACGTTTCTGTGCCTTCTGCCAACTTGCCCGACAATAATCACAAGCCCTTTTTCATCAATACACTGTCTCATCAAAGCATTTGCTCCTAAAAATGCACCACCACAGCAACATGAGTTTTGAAATGGACCGGTAACTCGAAATCACTTCAACCTCATCCATTCTTCCTGCACAATTATCATATAAAATGCATTCAAATCTAACGCTTATGTGATTACCACCCACAAGACAAGAGAGAAAACCTCAATTATATTTAAAAGAGAAAGGTTGCATGTGTACAAAATGTCATACCATCTGGATCAACCTCACGAGCCAATTTCAGAGCATCGGAGGTGGCCAAGTCTGAGTTGGCAGGGGACACTGCAAGGATGAGAGAGTTTGGATTGGAGATGAAGGACAAGATCATCTCTTGCACTTGAGCTTCAATGTCCTCTGGCTGATCCCCGACAGGGACCTGAGGAGGAAAAAAAAAAATCACACAGGCAGCGTAACATTAACAGCAAAGACGCTGTGCTGCAGTGAATCTGTGACAATTACAAGATCAGGATTAATGAGTTTTTATTCTTATTATATATATATATAAAAAAGAAAAAAGAATCAAGCAAGCTGGCCAAGTGGCTATTTTATGGAATGTTTTTCTAACCTTGGTAATTCCTGGTAAATCAACCAGAGTGAGATTAAGAACATTGGGGGAGAAAATCTTCAAATATATGGGCTCAGGACTGATTCCCTGGAAAAAAAATTAAAGAAGTGGGAAACATTAATATATACAGGAAGAAAAAGTTAGTTTTAGTAAACTCATTAGCGCACATTGAATCATCCTTCTCACCTTGTTCTCGCCTGAGGTGCGTTCAGTCTCTGCTTCAATTTCACGTCGGATTTCATGAAAATCTGAGAAGATCTGTTACACAAAAGCGAGAACAACAAACCCCCTCAGTCAGTGCACGTTACCCAATGGAAGAAGCATGTATGCAATTTGAATCTCCAGAAAACATATACCTGGTTTTTGCAGTGCAAGAATGTACCCCATTCTTCAGCTTTGACACCTGAACAAATAAGAATGTATATAAGATGCAAGACAAATCTGCAACTTACTTAAACCATGCAAGACAACTACTGAAAACGTGCAAGACCGGTAAAACAGGGGTACACTTAAAGAGTGAGAGGGTTAAGAAAAGATGTGATGAGTACAAACAGAGATATATCCATGCAGATCAAAAAGAGAGACCTGGGTGGCTGTTTAGTGAATTTTGTTTTACACCATTTCCTAAAAAGTCATGAAAAAGAAACAGAAGAAGAGGGAAGAATAGTAAGACAGAGTTAGCAGAGAAGCCAAGCATCTACAACAAACAAAAACCATTTTAAATTAGTAGGAGAAGACTACAAGCATAAGAATTTTTGTGCCTCAAGAAATTACAAATTTCATGCGTTTCATTAGTTTGTAGAGTTCTGCATATTCTAACTTTTAAAACGTTATTGTGTGGTCCAAAGGTTAATAATGTAACAAAGAGTTTCACTTTTAGGTACCGTTTTCAGTCCTCAGTCTCTCCGGCAGAGGGGCAACATTAACAAGCTGCAGCACCAGGGGTCGTCTTGTGACTATTCCTGATCCCCGAGGCAAGAAATCCCGTCCGACCAGGCTCTCCAACACAGAGCTTTTCCCACTACTCTGTTATGGCACACAATGAGAGCAATTATACCCAAACATGACCCACAGCAAGTTTTATCACATCAGTCTTTGGTACTGTTACAACATACTCCTCAGTATACTATACAGCACAATGTTTTCTTTTCATTTTTGTTGTCCACACAGATTTCTTAGTTTCAGTTGAATCCCTGAGGGAGACAGAGGAAGACAAGGTCCCTTTTTTAAATTCTAATTCTACATGTGTTCTTCGTGACCGACCTGTGATCCAACCACGACAATCTGTGGTAGCTGAATGATCTCTGCCCCAACAGTGAGAAAGACCTCTTGGAGCCGGTTGATGGTGGGAATCAGATTCTCCATCTTTCCGGTGGGCTGGGCACTCCTAAACATACATGTAAACCCACCCAACTATCAAACAAAATGATATCCTGTGAGATTGAAATGGCTGATTTATATAGAAACAGCTATAATCATGTCAGTGATCCAAATGTGTAGCACAAGTGCCTATTTGGTTGATAAATACATCATAAATTGAGTTAAAAAAAGAGGGAAGTGGTCCTGATGAGAGGGGTGTACAGCCCCAGCTAACACAACACCATGCCAAATGCTCCGATACAGCACGATAACTGTGAGTAGGAACATGAACTATTAGTTATCAGTAAAGGTAAAGATTCTTTGTATATGTAACTTTAGCAGCACAAACCGAAAGAAAAGCTATTTTCTGCTAACGTCAGTCGGCTAAAGACAGGAAGTGAAAGATGTGCAAGCTATATGCTAGGGCTAGCTTAACCGCCAAAACAGCCGATGTTTCATGCCAACCTTGCCGATGTTCAACAAATATCCTCCCTTATATGTCGCTCATACTTGGTCGAAAAAGTATTTTGAAAAACACCCCATTTTACCCCAACTATTATCCAAAATCTGCCGCAAAACCATACACCGTCTGTCATTAACAAAGGCGGTCCCTTATCATTCACCCTGAATCCGATTGGAGGAAAAAATATGACTCACGGGTTTTCCTGATGACTGATTGGCTGGTGTGTGTTCAGGGAATCGTCTTCGAGGTCCACCCAATTAAAGCTTCACTGTCCTCTTTCCATTCTTTTATTTCAGTAAATAAATGTCAATGCTTTTAAATTCATAATAACTGCAGTATTTTTTCATTTAGCACAACACTGGAGAGAGATTTTTTTTCTTCTTTGTTTTAATGTTTGCATATATAAACAACATATTTACAACTCATTTAACGGCCATCAGTAAGTAACAGGGTAAAACACACTTTCTTACAGATGTTTAACAGATAACACCCAGTTATCGTTCAAAAGAGGAATTATCAATAAATACCGGCCACTGGATGTTAGTGTCCCCTTGGATTTGTAGCAGCCAGAGATGAAGTGGAACAACACCATAAAAGGATTCCTTTGCATTTGGAAACTGCGATACCACCCACAACATAGGCAATGCAAAGTGACCATGTTTTTCTGTCTTAAATAGAAGTCCTTTGTATGCGGATAGAGAGCTGCATTAATGAGACAATCAACAGTCAGATGTTCCCTCAGCCACTGATTAGGCACACAGCAGGGGGACGTCTGCAACTTTAAAAAAATGGTGCTGTATTTTCCAAAAGCGTCACACTCTAAATCACTGCCTGTAGCTCCAAGCATAGTGTGCCCTCCCCCCCTGAAAATCAAAACAAAAAAAACAATCAAAAGAAGTTGCTTTAAGCTATGCATCTTTAGTCCATGTATGAGGTATCCATTGCATCGCCGTCCGGGTGAAGCAGCCTCCCAGCTAAGCGCTCAATGTCATCGAGGCTGAGCTGTCGAAGTGAACGTTCATAATCCTGAAAGAGAAGCGAGGAGGAATAAATAAATCACTTAAGACCTCAAGGGGGAAAAAAGGAAAAACATTCAGATTTTGACAAGGTATTCAGAGTAGCAGGGAATAATTTCCATTATAGTTTTGTCTTACAAAGTTGAAGCAATCAAAGGAAGATTGAAGCCAAATCCCGAGATTTCACTTGTTTACAGGTTCAAATGCCAACAAAAGACAAGTATTCAAAAGATGAGCAGTAGACAGAACAGCCACTGCGTGATATCATGTTATTAAACTAGCATGTACTATTTAATGGTGTCAACTCACTTTTTTAGTAAAGAAAATTAAAACAAAACAGGCACTTGCTGTATTACCTTTATAAGCTGTTCGTGTACTTTTGCAGCATCTGCAGGACTAAAGTGTTTTGCAAGGATGGTTGACACAGTCTGCCACACGCCTGTGTGCGTGCTGCTGGAGCTCGTGCTGCCAGCTGCCCCAGAGGCTGCCATCTTCTCCCCCACAGGACGGATCACCAGATTCAATTTAGCCTCTGGGCCGATGGAGTAATCACTAAGCCTGTGTTCATCTGTGGGAGACAAACGCCATATTCAGTTAAGAAATCCACACTTTTAAAGAAGGTCCTAAAGAATGATGAGAGTCGGCAACTACGTTGATCACACTTAAGCGTTGGCATCTTTACCTGCAAGTGCTTTTCCTTTGTAGAGCAACCGCTGCTGGTTTGCGGGTATGTTCAATCGTTCAGACACAAGTTCCTTCACTGTGGAGACCTTTTCATCTTCAGTCACCTGTAAGAGCAGGAAGAAAACACTACAGTCACAGTATTCTCCACCTTACAAAAACCTGAAGCCTATACCTACTGACAATAGGCTAAATGAGGACAAAATGGACTAATTCAGTTGTTCCAAATGTCTTATCTAATTAAATTTAATTTCAAATACTAGTTTCAAAACATCTTGCTTTGTATGATTCATAAACTCTTCTCTCCTTGTATCTTTTTCTCACATCTTCAAATTGTATCTCTGCCAGGGGAAGACAGTGATGTAAGGACAGAACATAGAACACTACATATAGATTGAAAAATTGGAGTGGGATAAAACAAATTAATAAAATAATAAAATAGTGTTTGCATCACTTTTAGATTAAATTAAAAAAAAAAAAAGTTGAATTCACATAAAAATATCAAATAAACTTGGAGATTTGCCCCATTTCTACCTTGTTCAGGTATAAAGGATAGTGACTTATAATAACAACAACTGGTCGATCCAAACACCTCTTATGACATGTTATATGACTAATATAGGACTGAAACACAGAATGCTTTTGTTGTTGTTTAAGAAAAGTTTATATATACTGCTCTACAAAATGCAGTCAGCAATTACCAAAAAAACAAACAAACACATGCCTATACCTTCTGATCTAACCAAAAAGCAACCCTGGCCTCTTTAAACATGACGAGGTGTATAACCATGTTCTGTTTGGAAGCATGTTGGTGTTTATATATGTAGGTCTGACCCTCGTTTGGGCCCCATTTCATAATATTATCAGTAAAAACAGAGAGGCAGCCCCTACAGTGAGCAAAGTTAGAACCTGATGACAGATAGATGTAGAAATACTTTAAAATGTAGCACTGCTCTGGCCAAAACATATATTTACCTACTACACAAGAGGCTTCTTTGTTGTTTGACGGGAGCGTATAAGAAGTAAAAAAGCCACTCAGCCACTATGTATGGCTTCAAGACGGGACAGGAACGGATAACATTTAACGTTTGAAGTCTGTCTCTCATGTAGCTAGCAGGCTAGCTACAGCATTGTTAATGTGCGATTGGCAGAGGATACGTGTGCACGATTAACCCAGTAAGCAGTTAAACCGTTTTGCAGTTAAACCAGTGTTCTTAATTATGAATCATGAGTATGGTTGCTTCACTTGAAGTTAAACTCAGCATGTGACAAAGCCAGAGCTATCACTGAAATGCTCGCTTTCCTGGGCGACTAGCTCGACCGTGTGTAACTTACCTGGACACAACATTCTTTTCCTTGAAGTGGCTTCACCGTGAGAATCATTTTCAAGCACACAAACAACACAACCAAACTACACTATGTTTTTAAAAAAAGTTAAGCAATACAATCGAAACAAGCAGCGTTACTTTGTCAGTTCGTAATAAACACACAGCTTCCTTTCTTGGTAAAGGCCCATCTTCTTCGCCTGCTGACTTCCGGCCGGACTCGCCTGACTCCTACTGGTTGGAGTTTGGTACTGCAGTTAAGGACAGTCGGCAATAGAGTATTGAATAAAAGGGAAAGATTAATAGTGTCTATGTCTGGACTCCAAGGGCTATTTTAACCCCATATGATCCAGGAATATTTTTTCAGCTATGGTGTGAGTTTCCGAATTTCAAATTGTAGATACATTACAACCAAATTACTAGAAGTGCATTAAATCCGCCAGCCCCCTTGCAGCCCTCCACTGAGCCATTAAATAGTAATCAAGAAACAATGTATCATTCATATGATTATATGCTTTGTTCTAACATATTTCTTTCATATTTCTTCTTGCCATATGCAGCTGGCGCCAGAGTAAATCTATTACAATACCCCCACACTGGATAATAAGGTAATAGATTTGCCATACAGGTAATTAACCTAACTAATGAATAAATTATTGGAAAAAGAACTTTGCCACTTTGTCCTACTTGCCTAAACATTTATAGTGTTTACATCGCCAACTTCCTCAACTCATCACATAACCACTGGCTAAACACGATCAACTCAACATCTCGATTTCAGAATAGTTTCAAACAGCCTGCAAAAGAAAAAAAAGAGTGAACCTGCAGCCGGCGCGCACTTCCTCCTCTGTCAGGAACAAAATGATTAATGCTCCCTGCTCACTTTGGCGGATGCTCTCCAGGGCTTTGATACACTCTAAGGACCCTCTGACCCAGTTCGGATCCAGTCCATGCATTTGTCACTGCCCCCTCCCTCATTGTCTCCGCGGTTTCGGTCATGTGATTGCCTGTCTGCGCTGTCTGTGCAGCCCTGACCAGCGGGAGAGGAGCATCCTCCACTTTTTAGAACCGACGTGCACCTGCTGGATGGACTCCCCGCTGCCACACCGTCACAAACCCAGTCGATACAAGTGATCAAGACTCCCACAACGCCTGTGGTAAGTGTTGTCTAATTGTGCGTTCTGACACGTCGTTGATGATTGTTATAAATCTGTAATTGATGAAAATGACAGTCATTATCATTGCGTATGGAGCTAAACCTTTTTTTGTGTCTGTTTGCTCTTTTTTGTTGGCCTTTTTGGTACCACCATTCTAGTTCTTCTGTACTTAAATTTCTAGTCTCTCACATTAGCTTCTCTTTTGCCATTTTAATTAAAATAATTGAGATGTGGGCAGATGAGTAATGGACAAATGCACATTTATGCTACAAACTAAATGGCTTAAGATTTCTACTAATGTTCTGACTGCATGAAATTGGTGAAATCTTTTATTTGCCAGGACAAAATATCTATCCATCTGGTGTCTGCAGGTATGGGTACACTTAGAGATCTCCAGTATGCCTTGCAACTAAAGATAGAAGAACTCCGTCAGAGGGACACGCTGATAGATGAGTTAGAGCTGGAGTTAGATACAAAGGATGAACTCATCCGGAGGCTGCAAGACGAACTGGATCGCTACAGAACCACTGTGTCGCTCCCAGGGCCGTCAGCAGCCAGTGCAGGTACAGAAACGGTGCTTGTACCTGTTGTTCAATTGAAAACAACAACAGGTGCCCATTTGAGCACCTTAAACTTGACCCAGAATTCTGACACAGCGGGTGCTTTTCCTGTAGCCACTTCTGCACAAAATGAGGACAAGCGGCGACCTAAAAGGCAGACAGTCGTGTCTGAGTCCTTCAGTCCGGGGCCTGCGACTCTCAGCATGGGCTCACACAGAAGCTGTGACAAAAAGCAGGAGTAAGAACACAGTGTTCCCTCACACGCAGCAACTCACACCCCAAAAAATCTGATGCACTCATATTTTAGCGTTGGCTGTTCAACCAACGCTTTACTCATTTGAAACACTGTGGTTTAAATTCTTTTTAGAAGAATTTTAGGTTAGTCCTGACAACTCCTTAAGTGTTACGTCATAACAAACACATCTTCATGTCCTTAGATCTGAAAGGCTAATCCAGACAGCCTTCTTGAAAAACGACCTGTTGAAACATCTTAGTGAAGAAGAAATCAGAGCCGTCACAGCCTGTATGTATCGCTCCACCATCAATCAAGGCTGCTTTGTCATTCAGGAGGGCACCGTCGGGGATCAAGCTTATGTTCTAGAAGGCAAATGATCTGCTTCTTATAACTCATTACCTTCACTCATGCTGAAGATTTTTCTGAGAGCTTCCTTGAGATATGAAGTGCTTAAGAAAAAATCAATATGATTAAATCATTTATTCCATCGTATCATCACATTTCTATTCTCGTCTCGTTTAGCTTCGCTAAATATTTGATTGTAGATTAGACCTGATGTTGTTCAACAACGAGACAAGACAGAGAGAGAAATAGTTTTTGAGATTCCTGCCTTTTTTATCTTTAGGAAAGAAAAAAATGGAATCACTTGGAGCAATAGGGGACTCGAAAGAGTAGTTAAAATGTCAGCTTTAACAGGAGGGGACAGGAGAGCAGAAGTCCTGCTTCCGTTTTATTGTCAGAGGTCATCAGAGGAAATTTAGGCTGTTTGTAAAGCACAGCTAATAGAAAGTGGGTGCTCCCTCATGCCATCTAAACCATCTGTTGTTTACACGGTGCATCTACCAATAAAATACACATATCATTCTGTACATTCACCAAGACACACCAAAAGCATTTGTACTATGTACACACTGCTTTTTTTCTTTTCTTCACTGAGAATCTATTGTTAATAGAAGGGAGGTTGGATGTAACGAAAGCTGGACAGAAGCTGCTCACTGTTGAGCCAGAGGACATGTTTGGAGAGCCAGCTCTCCTCTACAGCTGCACCCACGCCTGTTCCGTCTCAGGTAAGCACTGCATCGACTTCTCAGCTTTATAATTGCATAAATTTATCATTGGAGAGGGGTCAGGTGGAGACATGCTGGAGTTTCGCTTTGAATGATAATTATTGGAAGGCATTATGACTACCTCTTGTATAAGAGAGCTACACAAAAAAAGCACATTTTGGTCATGAGCAGAAGGTGTCTGTTGAATTTCAAATGAAACACCATTTAATATCTTAGACTGGAACACAGCTTCAAATATTTTCACAGGGATGGGGGTAAATTGATAGATGTTTTTCTGGATGGTGTCCCTCCTGTAATCCAGCATCCATCACAGAAACATCCAAAATATTGTTGTCTCAAAGCATCTGACTGTGATGTAGCCCATCAAATCTGTGTTTACAGAAATCTGCGCTATTCAAATAAAGAAGTCTGGCTATACTTTCCCCAGAGCATCTAATTGCAGAACTCCGTGGGAAGACTTTCTCAGCCCTCAACACAGACATCTGACCCGATTTCACGAGTAAATATATAGACTGCAATTAAATTAGCCCTGGAAGCAGCCAAACTGAAATAAACTCTTTATTATCTGTGTTGAAAGCCCAAGCAAGCAATCTTCTTTTCACTATGCCTTCTTTATCTTATGACCTGACAGCCTTTCCAGTTCATTGCTTGACACTATCTGTCTAGGCTTTGTTACAAATGCCCAGCTCGTGTTGACAACCTGCGCTCCTTTGTTTTCATATTTATCCGCTTTTCCCAGTGGATCATCAAAGAGCCCAAATGCATTTCGGTCCCCTCTGACCTGAATGTAATACTGTTTTATTTTCTTCTTTGTGTGACCATAAGTAAGGCTTTTGTTTGTGTACTCTTTTTCGTTGTGACAGTAATATGGGAGCAGCTGACCCCAAGAAGTCCTCATCTGGTGCTGAAGTAAAGCATTAGAAAAGCTGTACAGGAGAAAAATGTCAGAAAACTGCCCTTTGAGAAAAGTCTTTGAAGAGAGGCTTTTCTTTTTTTGAGTGAAGCAGATGAAAATAAAAAGCAGTGGTGGCAAATGACTTGTCGTTTGGCGGTAAATTGGGGTAATTGAAATATCAGGGCTGTATAATTAGATGTTGGGTGTAATTAGACTGTCTGCTCCCATTTGCAGGAAGATTCAGTGAAGCAATCAGTATAGGTCATTGATAATTTATACCTGTTTCAAGTTGTTTTAGAAGAAGATGGTAACTGTGGTTAAGGAAATTAGGATATTATTAAAGATCATCTGTCATGGGAAAGTAAGCACTTCTTATGTACTCATGGCATCAACTGCCTGTTCTTTAACCTATGATGCCAAATGTATCATATTTGATACACAAGGTCTCTGAAAGGTTTTACATCTCAGACCTTTTGCATCACTTAAAGGCAGGCACAAGACTACACGACAATAACTTTGACTGATCGCATGATAAATTATGAATTTCAAAAAATTATTTTAGTTTTTTTTCTCCAGATTTTGTTAAAGGGCTAAATAAAGACTTTAGAAAAATGTCTCTCTTTCTTATCAGCTCAAGCTTTAAAGGGTTAAGCCACAGGAGCTACATTCACAATTGCTGCAGTCAACACGTTCTCTCGGTGGTGTTTGCACCTGAGTAACAGTGACACTGAAGCAATCCTTATCACCTCCTCTGCCTTTGTCTTTTGATCTGCAGCACAAACAGACAGCAGGCTGTGGGTTATTGACCGCCAGAGCTACCGGGCTGCTCTGATTCAGTGTGGGCTCAGGCGCCTGGCTCACTCAGTGGAGCTGCTGAGAAGGTGAACCTCCCACCGGCCCTCATGATTTGATGCAAAGTGTTTGAGATATTCAAATGATGTGTATCTGTTTCTGCTCACGCGTCCACAAATGAGGAATAACAACTTTTCAACGTTTCCTCTGATTTGTCTTCTTCGTGCTTGTGTGCAGCCTTCCCTTTCTGCAGTCCTTGCCAGATGATGTCATCATGAAAATGTCTGATCACATGAAAGAGGTGAACAATGAACTGTTTCTAATGGGTGCACCCATTACTTATATTTCAGCTAGAATGCAGGTGCAACTGTTGCTTCCAAGGGATTTTTCTATTCCCTCTGTTCACTCCACTGTGTGCCATTTTTCTGCCATAGACTAATTACACAGACGGTGACTGCATCATTCGACAGGGGGCCACTGGGGACACCCTCTACATCATTACTAAAGGCCAGGTAAAGATATATGCCCCCCGCTAGCAGCTCAGACGCGTAGACTGTGTAGGCCAAATAGGGGAGCAGCTTCAGTAATGACTTTGTAATGGAGATAGCCGACCACGGCCTTCTGCTAATATCTTTGGGACCATTCCCTCTCTTTCTTCATGCCTTTCTTCTGAATTTGTGAGGTGACTGTGACAGAGCAGAGGCCGGGGCCTGAAGAAAAGGTTGTCCTGACAGAGCTCTTTGAGAGACAGTGGTTTGGAGAAAAAGCTCTCTGGGGGTAAAGAATGATGCAACAAAAATGCTCTTTCATATTTTCATTCTTTGGTTTGCCCCGCTCATCTAATTTTTGTTCAATTATTTTTTTGTCAAGGGAAGACATTCAGGTTCAGACTGGGAATGTGGTGGCTTCTGGTGAAGTGACATGTTTGCTCATAAACCAAGAGTAAGATCAAATTAAGTGTTACCACATTAGGCTGAAAAGCTTCTCTCTTCTCTTTCTAAACTTTTCTAGATAACCATAAAGTTTGGAATTACTTTTTTTTGTTATTCTTTTAGGACCTTCAAAGATGTTATTGATGGGTTGGCGTGTGACTGCCAACAAGATGTGCAGAAGTACAACAAATCGAACGTGGAGTAAGGAGCAAATGCAGTACTTATCTTTGTTGTGGATATGTTTTAAATGCCAAACGCCCCTTCACTGCTTTCACTTCCTGAGCAGGTCAGGTGAGGATCCTGCTCTCCTGGCATCCTCCACCCTAAGTGATTTCCAGATTCTTTGTACTGTAGGATTTGGGGAGTTTGGTCACGTAGATTTGGTGAGGGCCGATCCATCGGCAACAGGCATACACAATCACCCCGATCCCTGCGCTGCTCTGCCTCGCTCACTTCCTACAAATACGTGTATTGATTTTCCCCGCTGTCAGGTGCGACTAAGGAGCAACATCACGCATTTTTTTGCCATGAGGGTTCTTAAGAAGAAGCTGATCGTTAACAGCAGCCAGCAGGAGCACATCCGGAGAGAGGGCCGCATCCTAATGGATGTCCCAGCCCACTGTCCCTTTATAGTCAGGTGGCTGACCGCAATCCCATCGAGTTTCAGCCATCTCGGTGAAACCGTCCAGAATATCTAACACGTTTCTGTATTTACATCCATCCCAGTCTACATAAAGCCTTTAGAGATGCAGAGCAGCTGTACATTCTGACTGAGGCTTGTCTGGGTGGGGATTTATCAGCCCTTCTCAAAGAGAAGTGAGTATATTTAACTTAAGGAAATGAATATGCAGGTCACATACTGAGGAAATATTTATGCTCTCAATGTGTTCTCAACCAAGGTTTTTAATCACTGTGGAACTTAAATACAGACTGCTCATACAGAGCTCTTCTGTGCCGTGACACTTCATCATCTCAGTATTTCTGAATACATTTCAGAGGATTTATGGAGGACTGCAGTGCCAGGTTCTACACAGCCTGCGTCGCAGAGGCCTTGGCTTTTCTCCACTCTCAAGGAGTCGTCTATCGGGATGTCAAGCCTGAAAATGTCCTTTTGGATCAGCGTGGTTATGCAAAGCTGGTAGTACAGTTGCTTTTCAACTCTACACAAACTATTTTGTTAAAGGTAATATAGACTGACCTGCCTCACGCAGATTGGCTCCAGATGTATGAAGAAGGTGGAGCGGGGTCAGAGGACGTGGACGTTCTGCGGCACCCTTGGCTACATGGCACCTGAAATCCTCTTAAACAAAGGCCACGGCGTATGTGCAGATCTCTGGTCACTGGGAGTTTTTGTGTTTGAACTTCTTAGTGGCGGGTAAGTTTTATATTTTACCACCAACCCTGCCTCTTAAAACAGGTTTACTCATAAGCTAGACGGAATTTCACTCCATGGGATCATGTTTTCTGCTCCAGGCTCCCATTCGACGGCTCTGATCCTATAAAGATTCTCTCTGCCACCATTCGTGGCATTGATCAGATCCAGTTCCCTGAAACCATCAGCAAAGAGGCTGTTGGTTTCATAAGGAGGCTGTGCAGGTGCAGATAAGAACCACCGAACACTACAGAATACAAATACAACTGCCTTTTTTTCTCTTCTGTTCCATTTCCACCACTTGAGAAGGGAAGTGTAATTCATAGTTGGTTGGTTGGTTTGTTCTTTTTGCCCTTTATCACTCAGTAACAGCCCCCTTGAGAGACTGGGCAGTCAAGGAAATAGAGCCATCCAGGACATTCAGAAGCACAAGTAAGAGGATGGATTTATTCCATGTATTGCCAGTTCTTGCTTGTGCCTGTGTTTCAGGGTTCGGTCTGCTCTTTTTCCTCAGATGGTTTGAAGGATTCAATTGGGACGGTCTTTACAAAAGAACATTAATCCCCCCGGTTGTGCCAAAAGTAAGATTCATTCAAACTAAACCTGAATTGAAATCTTTGGTGTTTCTCTTTTTTATGTTCTCATTCTCATCTTGCTGTCTTTTAGGTTGAGAATCTCCTGGAAAGCACCACATGCGCTTTTTATAGCGAGGACTCGGTGGAGCCGTTCACTAACTGGGATGATTTTTGACGGACTACTGGGAACGAATGGAAGGGAACAAAGCTGCAAATTGCCAAATTAGTTTCGCATCAATAACGCGAGCCTCCGGTCTGGCTGTTATGGAGGATCAGCAGTATTTTTCAGTGTCAGCACAGTGCAGGTTCATTTCAGCTGGAGAAATGAACCAATACCTCCATTGTGTTAAACAGTTTTTCATGCAAAAGCTTTATAGATTATGAATTAATGTAAATGCAGTCAGGTCTTTGTCCAAATACGAACAGCTTGTATTACACTAGATATTTTTTTAAATGGACGGATCAGTGTCTGTCATGTCTGATTGCTGAAGTGCATCGTTGTACATGTGACATTTATCGTCTTGACTTTTTTGTCTGTTTTTCAGTCACTGAATAGCCCAAATGAGTTACCTTTACCAATTATAAAGTTACTGATATTTCTGACATAAATGTTTTATGGCTCCACCACAATTTTCGGATATTCTTGTCATATGGATCTCTGTAGGCTGTATCTTTACTGACAGTGTTCTTATCTTGTAACTTCTTTGTTGTGGAGTCTCAAGTCTTGGAATTTCTGCATACCAAGTGCACAACCATGATGGATTAAAACTCAATGGTCTGTGATGGTGAAACAAAGAAAGCTACATATGGATTTCTCGTGTTTTTTCATATTGTATTTCATCTTGTTCTACTTGTTTACCTGAAACTTAATAATTCAGACCCTAAGGGGGAAAAAAACAAAACCAAGTGCTTTTTGGGAATCTTGATAAGCTCAAAGATCATGGAAGAACATGAGCGCATCCCAGCTGAGGGATATCTCTGTCTTGATTACTCTTCCTTTCCTTTACTGCTCTGGAAGAAAAAGACAATTACTTGTCTTTTTTTAAGTTTGTCTGGGCTGTTCATGCTTCATTTGAGAGTGAGCAAGAAAATAAAAAATAAAGTTATCCCTGTTCTCCGTGGTGACCAGTGAGCCTCACCTCCATCTCATTACTGTGTTCTCACCCTCTTCGATCAGACCACTCCCCTCTCCGGATGCATAAAGTGTATGCAGAAGTCCCTCCACTGTAGGCAATCCTCTGTTGTTCTTTGGGTCTTTCCATAAGAATGCTGACAACACGGATCTCAGTAAGTTTCTGAACGCAGCCTTGTCTCATAAACTGTAACTTCATTAGGTGTCCAAAAAGGAGTTTTATTTTCCAAGACAAGCAAGTAAACATCGATAATTGACTTAAAGAAACCAAAGACGCATTTTTGGTTCTAACATTGCTTTCTCTGCTAACAAAGTGTGGAGATTAAACATCTCTTCAACAAGTTTGATTCAGCTATTTCCAAAACGCTTTTGGCAATTTTACATCATTACGAGTTCTCATTAAAGGAGGCTCTTTGAATTTACAACTATCAGTATGTGGCGTGGGGACACACAAAGTTGTTTTTAATATTGAGGCTTATTGAAGTTTCTCTACAGGCTGTTGTTGGTTATTATTGATCAGAAGATTTTTTCTACGTTCCGAAGACTGTTGCTTTTCCTATGTTTTTCTCCAGCTCTTAATAGCTCTGAGTCTTAGATCTGCTTGTCAGCATGAACTTCCATATGCAGACGGCCACAGGCTTCAGTTGTTTGCTTCTCTGAATTTCCCTTCTCTTCCACATATAAGGCTCATGTCTTCATGGAGCGAAAAGCTGGGAATACAAAAGTCCTTGTCTGGGCTTTGGCAGTGGCCATAATGACAGAGAAAGGTAAAGGCTGGAAGAGTTAAGAGAGACATTTTTAAAAATGACACTTTTCATAAAGCTTTTCGTTTTCTATCCTGTTACTAAGTAAGGACTCCTTCGGCTCAACAGCCAACTTGTTGCTTTCATTGTGTGTAAAGTTGAAACTAAACAGCTTTAGCTCATATGAAGGAGATTATAAATCATCTTAGGACAAGTGAGGCATCACTTTGCTCATGCAGTGAGCCCATAGTCTTCTTTAGATAGGCTGTGGGAAAAGTAAGTGAGAGGTCAAATGATATCAGACAGGTATGTAGAAAAAGTTATTTTATCTATCATCATATAATTAATTAACTGATTTCTGGTGGAACATGAAGTGTTTTACAAGAGAAAGTAAAATTACAGTTTTTTCTGTCTCTGTGTTCCCTTTCTGTGGTTTATTCAACTATTCTTAAAAGAGTAATGTCCAGAAGGGAATCGTTATGGTTGGAAGTCACTGGTTCTCCCTTTTCACCCCGTCTTCTCCACTAGCCCTTTGCTTCTGTACCGCCCCTGAGTTTTTCTGGGTTATGTTTACTCCCTTCCCATCGGATTAATAAGTGGCACAACACAACTGACAGCAACTTCTGAGCCATTTTCCATGAAGCAAGCTGTCGCCTCCTACTTTCCACTGCTCCTCTTTTGGTGCCTTATCTCAGAGTAATGCTAAACCTCTGCCTTCAGCCTGACTCTTCAGACCAGATTTTACACTTTAAGAGGATGCTTTTGCATCTAATTACCTTCTCACCTTGTAATTTCTTTCAGCCAGATGAGCGTAGAAAAGGGGTGCTCAAACTCATTTTGCACATCTTTCCCTTAACAAGCCTTAAGGAGTGCAGCCACAAAGGTGTGTAGTTTAACGATGTTTTTAAAAGATGAAAACATTTCACAAGTTTCACTCCGACATCTGAAGTATTGAGGGGCGAGACATACGGGAGGTTCTGCCGAGACAAGAAAACGTGTCAGGTTCTGTGTAACTTGAAATTGGAGCATCAGGTGTTCTGCCAGAGGGATAAGAATTAGTTCTTTTTCTGTAAGAAAATAAGAAACTTATCTTTGTATAGATCCAGTGGGAATATGCTCACTTTTTTCCCTTTAGACTGGAACAGCTTGGAATGATAAGTTTATAATTGATTTTTCTACATTGCTTTTCTTGAATATAACCTCAACAAAATTAGTTTGACTGTGTTAGAGAAATCAAGTAAACTTCTGTTAATTAATTTTCTCCAGCCCAGTACTTTTTTGTGCACAGAGCACCGGGGTGCTACGAGCACGTCGAAGGTGAAGTTATATTCATGCATTTAAATCAGGTTTCACTAAATCCCTTTTTCAAATTGTCTGAAATGACTGCCGACCCGTCCATGGTCCCTGCTACCTTGAAATGGATTCAAAAGTGAGAGAAAATGGATTTTCATGAATCTTTTTGCAATCTTTGTAACTCTGTGCTGATTGAACAGTGCGTGAATAATCTGACAAAACAATGATATGCCAAATGACAGGGAGGACTCTAGCGCTATAAGGGCTGTAGAGCTGATGGGTTGACTGATTAATAACGAGAGAATGAATCCTAATTAAAAATAATGACTCAAAATAGACTGATGATAATTCGAGGAGTAGACCAGAAAAAAAGGACAAGGAGATCTGGACACATTTGTTGCTCTTTGGCTCCCCCTACAGTTTAGGGTTGGAACAGCACTATCCTCCAAACGTGTGAGCCAGCCCAGTACGTCTGTAGCCAAACACATGAAACCGAAGCTGTGAACTGTTTCCTCTCAGCCCTCGGGTGTCAAAGGACAGATTTAAGCCCTCAAATGTGCATTATAGAAGTCAATTTGCTTCAATATGAACAGTTTGAAAGCTCACATATGTTTTTAATTTGCAAAACAAGCAGTTAACACTCTGGTGGGGCCTTTCCAATTCTTCATCCATCAAAGCATTAAAGCCATTCAGTGGGAAAGCTTGGATGAACAAATACGTTTTGGGACATTTAATAAATACCTGGATGACAGCGCAGAGAGCAGCCTGTCTGCTTCAAAGCCTAGCTTTTTAATACATCCATTTGGCATGTCTGTTTCCGTCATCCCTGTGTTGACTGGTGTAATGAAACACTGATGGCTCTAATGGAGCAGGAAATGATCTCTTATTTTCAGTCAGGAACACGCCGAGTCCATTCTGTGTGAGTTTCATTTAGTTAGTTTTGTAAATAGTAAATGCTTGAGTAGCTCCCTATACATGAGCTCTTAGAATGAGATGCTTACCTCCAGTACAAGTTGATGTAGTGCAGCTGGAGTCTGATGCGGTGCTCTGTCTCCCTCTGCTGGTCAGAAGTGGCTGATGTCTGAGATGGGTGCCTACTCCTCCATGGAGCTGGTGCCTCTGTGTGACCCTGTGGCAGGACTGGCGCTGGACACTGCCGCCACATTGTCATCCAGAGGAACCAGCTCCATGGAGATCAGATCCCCTTATTTATGGGGATGAAGGTAAGGGTCAAAATCCCCAACCTTAGGGGTTAGGGATTGTGCTTGTAGAAACACCTAACACATAGTTCTGTTCAAGATTAAATTAGATATTGTCTACAGCTGTGGTGGGAGATTCAGTATTCATAAAAGGTAAAAAACAGACACACATAAAAACAAACTTCTTTTTTTTTCTTGTTCAGAAAACCGAGGTCAGCTGGGAAAAATCTAAAGATTCTCTATCTTTTGTAAGTCATTCCTCACAGAAATGGAAAGACACACGCACAAATCAAAACACGCGCAAAAAAAGAAAGTTATTGTTTACAAGTGGTGTTAAAATGCAAATTTGTGAAGTGGCTCTTTTGTGATTTCTGCACACGAAAAAGACAGAGAAAAGAGATGAATATTTAATTTCAGTTTAAGACCTGAATAACGTTGAAGTTAAAAAAAAAACACAACTAAGAGGCTCCTTATTGGCAGTAAACTCAGTTTCACATTCTCATTTTCATGTTGTAAGTTGTAGCATTAAATCTGTGGTCCTGAGGTGAAAAAACAGTGATTATATTCTCTGATCAGAACATTATCCCACACACTATGTCTCTGTTAAACGGAGCTAACAGTGGGGATGTTTTGTCCGGCACCTTTGCTGGAGAACAAGGGGAGAGGCTCCTGCCTGGTCCCCTTTAATGGCTGCAGCCAAGCCTCTGGGGAGAGGGAAGAGAGGTGCGAGCTGGAGGGTTTGAAACTGGAGACACTCGTTGTGAGTGGGGTGGAAGCTCTAAATCATGGTGAAAAAATCTTTCAAATCTATCCCCTTTAATTCAGCCCTCAAACATGATGTATGGACTCTTGCGAATGATCGTCTTTGCACACATCCTGGTACCTGAGAAAGCAGAATTTCAAACATCTTATGGTGGGTCGATTGTCTCTTGACTGGGACATGACTTCATTAAACCAGTTGATGCAAATAGTTGACCTCTTCTTAAAGCTCACTTGATATCCACAATCGTCCCTATCTCATAAGATATTATTAAAGCCCACTGGCAAACGGGCTCAGAGGGGGAAGCCCCGGGTCATGTGTTCATATTCCTTTGCTGTGTCCTGAAGCCGCCCCGGCCTCAGGATCTGGCAGCGGTTTCCCTCACCAGTGGAACCACAGGTACCGTCTGATCTCAGTGGTCTCTCCATAATTATACCTCACTCACATCATTAGAGAAATGTCCCTCAGTGCCCACTAACAACCTCTCTTTACTACATCACTTTGGCTCCCTATGCTGCTCAGTGCTCTGCAATAATGTTTTGTTTATTTATCCAGGGAAGCCCAAAGGAGCCATGATCACCCACGGCAACATCGCCTCCAATACTTCCTCTGTCATTAAGATCCTGGAGGTCTGTCTACATTTCCACCTCCTTGTCTAATTGAGAACAGCCTCGCAGCTCCCATCACTTCCCATCTGCTTATATCTCAAACCTGTCCCCCTCCCTGCTGTGTCTAATGGTATGATTAATTGGGTGTTTGATTGCCCTTGTAGCTGCAAGATACTTTAACTAATTGCCCCTGTCAAAAGATTCCGCTATCTAGCTGTTGTTGAAAAAGCCATACAGCATGTTTGATCGCGCGTGAGGCCTCTCCATATGCCGCTGCCAAATCCTAATCTTTCCCTTGTGCTTTGTTCATTTTATTTCCTTTTCTCTCTCAGGGTTCATTTAGATAGCGACAACGCCACGTGTGAGTTTCTTACCTGCTACTTGCCCACATGTTTGAGAGGATGGGAACAATTGAATAATCGTTCCCCCTTTTTCTTAAAAAAAAAAAGATTTATTTATTTTGTTTACACAAGTTTGTTTGCTGGAAACACAAAAGGAAATGTAATTCCATTTCAGTTTTCAGTAATGCTTTAGAGCCCAAGTTGGAATGTACTAAAAGAACATACAGTATCTCCTCTTATGGCCGACAAGAAAAATCTCAAGCCCCTTTATGCATCATATGCTCAATCACTTCTCTGATAAAATGAGCAATTATCTCAGTTCTTCAGATAACACGCTGTATCCAGCACTGAGAAGGGCGACCATTATCTGGCTTCTTCTTTCTTACATTCCACTGATTTCTATGAAGATTATGGGCCTCCATGAATTCTCTGTTTGGACACACTCTTTTCTTCCTGTGAAGAGAGAGCCAGCTGAGCTCAGCAGTGGGATTATATGAAACAGTCTGGGGGACAAAATGGTGTTCAACAAGATCCAAGTTTGTTGCTAAAAGCTCTGGCTGATTTTTTACTTTAAAAATTTTTTTTGCCGTATTTATTTTTTTAATCGGGTCAGTTCAACCTCAGATGGGGAGCATAGGACATATTACTCGGTTGCTGTAAAAAAAAACTAGGCTAAAATGCAGAGGTAGTTTTTTTTTGGCCTACTTTTAGTCCCACCAGGAAGGTTGAAGTAGCTGCCAATAAAATGCACTTGATGAACTGACCATCAGTAAGTGCGAGCACTTCCATTAGTGCAGAAGTGTTGGCAGTGGGCAGGTTTGGCTCATTCAGGTGGAGTAAAACAATAGACAAGACAAGTCCTTATCTTAAAAGAAACCGTTGTTCCTGCCCAACAATCTAGGAGCGGTTAAAGGCCATTTGGCAAACATTCAGCCGTGAGAAAGATTTCATGACAGACACAATGAATATAGTTGCCAACCTTCCCGGGAGTGGACATCCCAGCACTTTCCCCCCCCAATGACTGTGGTTTCTGCACAGGATCTGTGCAAATTCTTTTCCATCCCAAATAATTCGAGGGGAAAACACGAGTCCCATCTGACGGCTAAAAAATAAGTTCTCGAATGACATATTTTTTGTCAATCTCTGCCCTTACAATATCACCATCTGTGTTTTGTCATCCTTGTACTACAGTTGTACATGATAACCAGCAGCCTGGCATATAGTTAGCAAATCTGAATCCAAACTTTACAAGAGAAGCACAATTGTTCCAGCAACCAATGCCAAAATCACCCGCAGCATATTGGCCCAGTGGGAGTGTATTGAAGAGGCACGCACACAGGCAAACAAGAACCGAAGAAAGGGAGGGAAACGGGCTGGCATGTTGGTGCAATTGGGAGGATTTTGATCCAGGGTGAAAATCCAGAACGAAAGTTTGTCTGAAGTGTTTCCGACCAGTTTAGTGGGCCACCTAAATGGACTGCACCCGAAGATTTTAGAGCTGGTTTTAGAGCCCACGCTAGCTCTGAGCTTTTTTCTCCAGCGTTGCCTCCTTACCCAGAGAAACCGAGAAGCTGGAAGACGTTCCTGAGGTGAACTGCTTTGAGAAGAACAAACGGGGAGCCTGCGTAAAAGGTGTGATCACATATTTCCCAACCAGCTCAGAGCCCAGTGATACATCTCACTGTTTTTTCACAGTAGATTTTTCATCCGTGGCCCCACTGTGATTAAACGTTCTAATATGAAGGACCCAGAGCGGACAGCACAGTGATGGCTGACTGCACGCTGGAGGTGTGAGCTGCCGGCTTAAAAATAGTCAAAGCGATGTCCGTCAGCACAGTAGCTCCCTGTAAGTGAGACAGTCACGTTGACAGATCTCTCATGTCTCCGTCTTTGACAGAGTGGGGCAGATCTTCTTGTCCCAGGGTGAGCACATTGCTCCAGAGAAAACAGAAATGATCTTCGGTTTCTGCGTTCCATGCAGGGACAACACATAAAACTGCATCATGGCCCAAGATGCCACTCAAACGCTTAACTTTCTCTCATTCCAATTAACTATCGGAACTTTAAAATGGGTTTTTAAGAGCAACAACAAAAGAAAGCCTCAAAAGAGTCTTTTGTTCAGGTGAGCAGCCGCCAGTGACGTTAAGCCCAGTTAAGATTTGCAAGGCGCGTTGTCGAGGGTCTTAGTTTGCACCCAGAGATGTGCGGGGCTGCCAAGGGCCTTCTCACGCCCACCATGGAAAGCTGATGTGCCAACATCTGCAAAGTCTTTCAGGAACAGCTATCTAGCATGTACAAAACGGCAATTAAACTGCACACCACACAAAGGTCAACGGTGCCCACTGAGGGAAAGAAATTAAACCTGGGAGAGGAAGGCTGGAGTCCTTAAAACCAGCTGTGCCTCATCTAGAAACCTACAGTTACTTCTTTTTTTTCTCCCTTCTTTCTCAGAAATAAAAACTCATGTCCACATTTGGTCCCGTTTTAGACAGATGTGTGGTAACTGTTGACATGTAAATTAGGGGAATGGAGCCAAACATAAAAAAAAAGAAAAGTATTCCCACTCTTTTGATGTCCCTGTCAGGGGAATTACACTTCAATTAAGATGGTTTCATTGTAGAAATAAAAATAAAACAAGTTATTAGTTTAGACATTATTCTACATTGCATTTTTGTTCTTAAAGGAGAAAGGGATTCCCAAGTAATTCATTATTTAATAATAAGTCATTAATACATCACTTCCTGCTGTTTCCTGATGAATATTTAGCTGACATCTGAAGTTGAACTCACGAACACATGAAAAAAGTCATTGTTGATTGTTTCAGTTACTTTACTCAATGATTGACCAGTACAGCTGAAAACATTTTATTCAGTCTGCGCTTTTACATTCGAATAGCCACACCTCGTGGTGACAACTACAGAAATATCTTAAATTACTATAACTTACTACTCTTAAGAGCACCTTCATTAATTCAACACAAACACAAACAGCCTGCCAGTCTAAACATAAAGACTGGCAACAAAATAAAAGAGTATCCTTCAAAATATTCAAAAACAAGATTAAAAAATTGCCATAAGTATCATTAATGTGTTAATCACTACAAATCTTATTTACCACGACGACAGTTTACCTGATGGAGGGTGGAAACAAAGGAGTGCAATGGCAAAAAGGTTTGGTCCAAAATAGTGGGAGGCCAAAAACAAATGCTTCGCTTCCAGGGTAAAGAGAAAGGACTTTAAAGGATACCAACAATGTGAAAGCCTGTTTTTCTAACCAACAATAGAACAAAGGATGGAGGCTGTGAGCGACAGAGGTGTTGTACTCAGCATTTCCCACTAGAGGGAGCACAAGCCTTTCTTTTTCGGGGACAGAGAACCAGTCAGCTGGTGTGTCCACCTTCCTGCGCCGCTCCGTCTCGTATCACACAAGTTAGTCTGTACGTCGCACCCAGTCAGACACATTATAGGAACATGAATATACAAATACAAAAGTTGTACACCCCACTTAAAACCCCCTTACGCAGGCTGGCACACAATCAAACTACAAATAACCCAAAATACAGAAGTCTACCGCTTTTCGCTGATAATCTGTGGTCCATCATTTAGGATTAAATCCAATAATTATGATTTCCGTCTTCAGTGATAAAAACTTTGACAGACTATTGGTATGATAGCAGATTAGACCAAGAATATTCTCCTTAATTTCCTGCATAAAAAAGCAATATCTTTGAAACCATGCACTGTAAAACTGGCAATGGTTTCAGAGGAAAATGGATTTGATTCCTTTGCAAAAAAAAAAGAAAAAAGTTTTTTTTAAAAGATATTGGCCTAGTATGTCACCCTTGGCTGATGGCTTAGTTGAAGTGGCATTGAGCTGCTTTTTAGTGTCTGTACGAAGAAAAATTAGAGTAAAGCACGAAAGGAAAGGGGGGGTGCATAGGCCACAAAGAAACAAACTGATTATCAAGTTAAGGCCATTGTTGTCCGTTTGAACTCCAGAGGGGCTTAGAAAAAGTGGAATCCATTCAGAGAGGCATGAAAAGAGACCTTCCCAATGTTCAGCTTTCCTCAGTCATCGGCCACAATGGACAGAGCGCGCAGCTCGCTGAGCTTGGTCTCAGTCTCCCTCTGCCTCTGCTCGTCAGTCAGCCCTGCCTGGTCGATCTGCTCCGTTAAATCATTGAAGATCTCGTACATTTCAGTGAAATAGACAACCTGTTGGGCAGGAAAGAGAAAAAAAGTGATAAACCAAATACAATCCTGTCTTCCGTTGGGTGGACAAAAAAAAAGCCCCACTTTCCCTAAAATCCTGAAAAAAAGCACGAACCAAATTACTAATCTGAACTTCGCTCTGCTTTACTAATACAAGTGAGAAGATAGCAGCTGGTCTCACACCACATGAAGCCTCCTAATGAGAAGTAATTTACAATGAGAAGAAGAAGCCCACAGAAATCAAATAATTCTGACAAAGCCCCAAAACCCAGCACTTCGGTGGGTAGTGACCCTGCTTTTCTTTCCCAATCTGAACAAGAGATAGTGTGTTCAGTGAAAGCTTTCTTGACACTTCCCACCTCTGCTTCTTCCCCTTAGTTCATGAATCAGGCCCCCTAGAGAGTTTCTTTGATGATTAATAGACTTTAATCACATTACAAGACTCAGAAGAGTGGGCAGAGAATGAAAGTACTGGGAAATACAAACCCTTGAAACCCACACGCACATCTCAATATTTATTCATACAGCACTGCAAACGGTGCCATGCTCTTAAGAGGGCATCATTGGTGTCTCTGAAACTACATACGTTTTCCATTGTAGGCAGGATCAACAAAACTAACTAGGGAAACAGTTTACTCAGGATGGACATTTTCAGACAAAAAAAAAGAGGAAAGCTGCATCTATACACCACTTTGGACAAGTTTTTTTAAGTGCCCTGTCTGAAAGACATTGCCTGTTTACACCAATATTTGCCACCTAAACCACATGAGTGGGCCATAAGTATTGGGTTACTGCTGTTTGCAGGGGTGAAGCGGATACATTTTTTCCCCCAAAAGTGGTTTGTTGAAAGGGCCATCGGAAATGTCCATATGACCAATTATGATGATATACGCCAGATCAGTGTGCCCTCTGCAGGAAAGGCTATCATTACAATTACTCGGGTCACCACGAGGAGTAAATGCAGCCTGACACAACTGTGAGTGGTAACGAGGCAAAGACAAGCTGTCAGACAAAGTGGAACTTTGATTTACGTGACCTTTGGCCGTGCATTTGAACACAACACGGCTTCCTTATATTGATACTTGCATTCAAATGATGACTTCTAAGAAAAACAAAAAAACAAAAAACATAAAGTCCCACTTTATTAAAAAAAAGTATGCATTAATTAATTTCATTGTGAAGCCGAGGGATCAAAACAAAAGCTGCCTTTGTGCCTTTTTCTGCTGCTGTGGGACAGAGGAGAGCCAAAGATGAAACCAGGCACAAGGGCCAGGCCCACTGACCACCCACTGGAGGATGTCTGTGTGTGTGTGTGAGAGCATGTACAAACATTCATTCAATAAAAGAGAAACAGAATTATGTGTCCATTGTCCTAAACGTGACACAGACTGGTAAGAATATGTGAATTTAATCCCACCAATGTTTGTGGTGGGAATACATTGTTGCTTATTATGTCCTCTGCTAATTTCAAGTTCAAAGTGCATCACTGAAGTCTTTAATCGTCATTAAATCTGGGATAATCCAGTTTACCAATTAGGGGTGTGTCCGTGAATATCCCTAAGAGGAAATGACATGGTGTGGCAGGTTTGGGCAGGGGGGAGGGGGGACATGGTGGCCGACTTCAGACGGTCAGCCGCTTTAAGAAAAGCTTCAGGTTAGAGGAGGGCTTGCAGGACACTAGTGGAGCCAGACAGATGAGGCCTCCTCAAAGCAGTGTGGGCCGTCACTGGGGGTTAATCACATTAGGACTGCGAGGAGGGAGACAGGCTGCCTGAGTTATACACACCCTTCATCAGAGACTTCATCTTCTGCGAACAGAATGCTGCTGGAAGGGTGTGTCAGTGCAGCTGCGAGCGCCTCTTTGTGACTGCGTTTATAGTGAGGTCAACTGACCTGCGCCCGGATGAGGGCCTCAAAGCTCGGCTGGAAGTAGTCTATGCGGCTCTGGTAGAACTTGGGCATCTCATCCAACAGCTGCTTGTTTTTGGCTTCAAAGTCCTCTCTTACCGGTCGGAGCTCATCTTTTGCCTTGAGTGTGAAGGAGAGAAGACAAAAGTCAAAGACGAAGGGGCCATTTTTTTTTATTCACATCTTCTTTCACTCCATATATTAAAGGTTTTCCAACAAAACTATTTAGAAGGAGTTTCTCCATTTAGAGAAGACACACCTGTAAGGAGAAAATGTTAGTTTCAGGTAAACTTGCAACTTGATCCCTAATTAGTGATTCTTTTCTTATTGTTCTGAGAGATATTTGCCTAATTCCCACGGAGATGCAGTGCAAAAAAGGCTGTAATCACGACCACAGTGAGGAGGAGTGGGTAATGTGGGCAGACTTGGCTGTGAGTGGATTCCAGCATTACTGATCTCTGTGTGAATGTATTAGTGGGTAGTCTACTGTAGCCATGGAGTTATGGAATGCACAAAGAAGAAGTGTGAGAGGGTGAGAATTTGTATTTAGGGGAAGGGGGAGTTGATATATTTATACAATAGCATATTTTTTGTTGGCTACATTAAGGAATGGTCTCTCTACTTTATTTCTTTTTTTTCCCAACGAACATGAAAGTTGAAATAGCATACAAATGTTGCATGTGGATCATTTCTTTAAGTGCACCGGGATTCTAAGGGCAGAGATGTAGGGGCCTCTTCAATGCTTTGTTCCCCTGACAGTGCTTTTCTCAGTGTGTGTGGGTGGCTCACCATGTGAGGATGTGTTAGAGGCAATAGCATAGGCAACACTGCAGCACTATCTGTGAATGTGTGCACTTCTGTAGTGGACTCATGGCGTGTGTATGTGTGTCTACGATTCTCAATTACATGCCTGTAGATGTGCAGTAGTGCCGTTCTGAAAAGGCACTACTTGAGAGCCTGGTAACTTGCGTGGGTGACGGAGTGCACATGTACAGTATGCATGTGCTCAACTATTTTTGTTCATATCCAGTCAGCATTTGTGTCGTTTTCCGCTTCTCTTCTATTCAATACACGCAATATGGAAGAGCTGGTGAACTCTGCTTTCCCGCAGTTAGATGGACCATTTGAGAGGACCAAGATGCACCCTTTTGCAAACCTGACAGTACCTGATGTAGTTTGACCATAACAGGCCCCGTTTTTTCTTTCTCTTCATATTTCTCCACTTTGGATTGCAGGCGTTTGTAGTCCTGCAGCGCCTGTTCTCGACGTTTGACTGCCATGTTAAGGCTGGGAAACACACCACTGTACCTGAAAGAAAGCAGACAGCAGGTTGAATGAAACATTATGTTTAAAAATATGCTTGCAAATGTGCATACACACACAAATAAACCACCACAGATTCAGATTAAAGAGACTGAACCTACTGAAAACAACCTTTACCTAAGCTTTAAAAAAATACAGACATGCATTCAGCTTGGAATAAAATCTATTATGGTTTAATCAAATCCCTCCCCACAAAATCTTATTGCAGAGGTACTCTCAAACCCCAGAGGACAGCTCTGCATTAAACTTCCTCTTACCAATTATCTAATTACTATAGTTCAGAATGGCATGAAACAATTCATATTGTCACAATTATCATATTCCAAACGAAAATATATTCTTGAAACAAGAATTCTGGTCTTCTGCACTAAAAATAGGAAAACATTCATCTGTAACTTAGCAACAAGAGTCTGAGCTTCATCCTGGGACTTGTTGCGTTGGGTTTGAGGCCGTTTTTGGAGGGAAACAGGAATATTTTGTACGAATGATTATTGAACCTAATATTATTTGATGGAAAAAAACAGATCTGAAATTGTGCTATTCTTGAATGCATTGAACACCCATCAATGTTTCTTTAGCAGATAAAAATTGAAGTTTTGAAAGGTTTATGGCTGTGCAATCAGCAGTAAGAGGGGGGGATGCAAAACCCCTGGAAGCTCATGTAAAAGCCTGATCAAAATAAAGGTTTAATAAGAAATCTTTTGGGGTATTTCATACGCTTAAACCAAAACCAGAGAAAACATTTTTTATAAGCAGGTTACAAGATTAATTTGACTGATGCCAGCTACACGTGAGTCAGTACCAAAAACAATCGTAATGAATAATTAGATAAACCTTTTCTGAATGACTCATTTAAAGCATTTTATCAGCTGTGTAGGCACACTACTACAATAGTGTATTATGTAAGCCCGTACCCATAGTGTTATTAGCCACAAAATGTGTGGGCTATATGACTTGTGTTCCCCTCCATGCCAACCCTTGCCCTGCTCGACGCAGCCTAAGAGGGAACCACTGAGAATGTGTGAATTGATTGCGAAATCCTAGATTACAACCGTGTCTGGTGTTGCACATCAACAGAGGCTGAAGGGGGAACAGCGGGCGCGACTGAGGTTCAGTCTCAGACAAGCTGGGATTGTTTCCGACAGGAAGTTAAGCAAGGAGTGGTGTTGGAGTGCTTGAGTGACATCACAGAGCTCAGCCCAGCCCCTTAGCCCACGCTCTCCTGCTATTTATAAAATATCACCCTGGCCCAGTTTACGGCTGGGGTGGATGCCGATCCTCACGTCTACTATCTGCTCCAGTGTACACATACTTGAGGTGCCAAGGGATTATGTAATTGCCCTCTAGGCTTGACTGCTCTCCAACATAGTTGTCCTGACTGATGACAACGCAACAACAACCAGGCTTTTAGACAACCGACCGAATCTTCCCCTGTGTGGTTTATCTGATGTTATTTCCTTAAGACAAACCACAGCGTCTTTCTGTGCGCTCCCAATTGTGGGACACAACTACCAGCGACTCCTTTTTCATCCCAGAGGCCTATCCCCAGAGCTGAGGGGGCAGAAAGAGCCAGACACAAAGCATGCTCATTCCTGTCCTGTACACACGGGAAGCTAATGCCCCACTGTTACAGCATTCTTTGTGCCCAAAGTGTAAAACACCAACTTAGCTTTCTTCCGGGTTCCTGTGCAGGAATTTTCACAATCTATTTAAGAGTTTTCTTTTTTTTTTAAAGTCAGGCTCTGGGAGTTTTCCCTCCATGTCCCAGCCTTGACCGGACGACTATCGCTCTGCCAGAATGGTCCACATGCCTGGTTGGGCACTGCAAGGGGGCCAATGGTACACCACTGTCCATGTGACAGGTCAGGGTGTGGTAAACAGGCTGGATAGAAATAGCATCTGGACCAGTCTGCATATGAACAGCTGCCAATCCACAGACAGGCAAGCCTGGCCAGTCAGCCAAGCCCAAGTCTGGTCTAGACACCCTCGGTCTAGGAGGCTGTCTGTCCCGCTTTACTATCACCATAGCTGAACTCATTACAGCAACCACTGCCCTGCAGGGTGAGCTAAATAGTGCCCTTAGCTCCAGGCTCATAACCTGCTCCCGGGGAAGAGTTTTCTATTCAACAGAGAAGGAGACACGGTTTGTCCAGTCTGAGCTCAACCCAGGGTAGAAGTCTCAAAAGCAAGAGAGCAGAGAGGGCAGGGTTAAGAGGCCTAGATAAGACAAATGCTTTGCCCACGCGCTCACTTCCCCCCACATACACAATGTGATGTCACTCAGTGACCCCGCTGAGTGGTGGATGAAACTCATATCTGGGTCCGAGAGAAAAATAAGACACTGAAGTGGGGAATTGCTTTTACCTTTGTCTACTTCGTGTTTTACCAGGATTCAGTCTAAAAGATGGATACTAAAATCTTAAATGGCAATCGCACATGGACACAATTGTAAAACCTAACAGATACACAATTACACACACTACCCAGTGAAAGTATTCCATTAACATAGTGATCTTTTTTTCCAACTCTTCACTAATTGTCTTTACAATGTCACAAGATCAGAGTATTTTGAGATAAGTAAACAACAAGAAACATTCATTAGAGGAGGACTAATGGAATCTTAATGGAAGCCTGGCAGCACTTGCATCTTTGGTTGTCCATGAAAGACAGCTTTATAAACTAAAACTAACAATGTTGTAAAAAGCAAAAACAGAGGTCAGTTTAGTTTGGCAATGAAATTTGATACTTCCTCTGTTCTGTTTCAAACGCATGCAAATGCACAAATGCTTGATGGTCTAAAATACTATCTTTACAAGAAAGCCTCCCCTCTAGAATCCGGGCTGGTGTTTGCACATGTGTGTATATTTGTGTGAGAGCGTACTCTGTCCTGAGACAGTTCTCTTCCTCAACCAATCCACAGTTATGGGCCCAGGAAGCTGGGCCCTTTGCCATATTCTGAGCCTGCCCACACGTCCGCCTGCCGCCCACCAGGAAGAGGAAATTAGAACCATTCCATCCTGTCATTGCTTCGCCACCGGAGCGCACGAGGGCGAGAGGGCTTGACACAGACACTGACCTAACCTGGTTATATTTTCACAGAGAATGCTCTTTACAATGGTTATTTAAAAAAAAGCCATTTGGGAGAGACAGTCATACACAATTTTGTACAGAAACAGATGCTGGCGCTCTCTTTAAAAGCACATGTTTAATCCATTGGGGAGGAGTCCAGTGGAGGAAACAAACCTTAACAAGCATTCCGGAAGATGGGTGGGATAATGTAACCACTCCCTTCAGTAGCTCTGCTTTGCATGTGTGTGTCAGCAAAGTAGGGCTGAAGGAATGGAATACCACTCTCTGCATCACAAATGGGGGCGAATGTTGGGAATAAAAACCAAATAAACTGTCTTCCAGACGTACACTCACTAAAGCAGCACCTCTCATTTCCCTCCTGATTCACTTCAACGTGCAAGTTACTACACTCTTACAGGCTTTCCTGTAATCCCACTTTACAATGTATTAACTACCCTGTTAGTGTGAGGAGCACAGTAAGGTCAAATAATAAAAAAAAAAGGTTATGGGGCACTGACCTGTATCAACCCAGAATGCTGAATGAATTTATCACCAAAAGGACATCAAGTCACAAAGTGAAGCTAAGCACTTTATGAACGATCATTTTAAAATCATTAAAATATAATTTAATGAACAAAAACAGATACATTTCTCAGGCAGTATGCAAAACTGCAACAAGTCTTAATCCAAACTCACAACATGTGCCATGTGCATATAAACATTTAAAGGCAATAGCAGTCACACAATAAACTGAGGATTACACTTACTTTTTCAGAGGGTCTATCACTGTTTTCTGAATCTGATTGACCTGTAATAGAAAAAGACTGTTGTTAATGTATGCAATAGTTGTTAGAGAAGAGATCATACAAATTGTTATTCATTGTCAGACTGAATCTGTCAGATCTAAACAGCTTCGACATCTCCCGCTCATTAGCTGCACAGAAACGCCGCGGCACGAACACCAACATTGGTGTTTACATCAGAAAGAGCAGTAAAAATGAAAAAAAGAAAAGAAAAGAAAAAAATCTGGAGACAAAAAGGGGGGCCCATGCAAAGAAACTTTCATGACGTTGACTCTTATTGTACACAAACCCCCAGGAAAAACCCCTGAATATTCATTGACTTGCAATACAAAAGGATAGAACTGTCAGGGGACATACATGAAAGCAAAGCCCAACTGATTTCAAATCCTGTGCAGGGTGGGCTGCTTTGCAAGATGAAAGTTCTTAACAAACAAACATTTTAACAATAACAGTTTATATTTTCCAGCTTTCTCCTTCTGGTTGTCAGAACCGACAGGGGAAGGAGAGGAACGGGGGTGTTAAATGGAAGTAAATGAACATCACATCTTGAGGCCCCCAGAACCAAGTACCACCAACAGAAGTTAGCACACAATTAATAAAGTTCCAAACATAATTTACATAGATTTAAAATGACTCATTTAAAAATTCTAGCATAAAAGACCTATATGAACAAGACAATTAACTCAAGTGTTCAACGTGCAAGGAAAAGTGATAGAGAATTTCAAGAGTGAGATGCAAAGTGACAGCTGCTTGACAACAATGAGCTGCTCCTGTAATCACATGTTCAATTGCTATTTGAAGGACAGTCAATCACCCAACAGCAAATCAACACAACTGCAGCTGTGCTTTGAAAAAGTACCCTGACCATCTATGAGAACATAAAGCACCGCTCGCTGCTTCTCATTGGCAGGTTTCCATGTACAAAATGGTTGATTTCGGTTTGAGGGAAAACACAGCCAATAACAAATAAGTACATGGGAATTCACATAGCCTTTGTTTTACATATTCACACCATCTCCCCCTCCCTGACTTGATCTGCGCTGCTTCTTTTAAGGTGAGAGCATGCATTGAGGAGGGAGAATAACAGCGGCATATTTGCTTAAGCATGCTGGTGCCCTCTACCCTCTGCCCCTTCCCACAGAGAGGGGGGGCAGAGCTATTCCTTGGAGGCCCAGCAGAGCCTGAGGCCGATGCTCAAGCAGCAGTCTCCATCAGTGAGTCACGGGGCAGAGGCCATCCCGGCACACAGGCCTCCCAAAAATATACACAGATCGCAGAGGAAATCAATATCCCTCCAAACGGAGCATCCTCTGCTGCGCTGCCGCCATCTACACTGGGGCTCAGCTTCGGCAGCAGTACGCCGGCGGGGCTGTGCGCCCTCCTCAGCCCCAGAAATAAACACACAGACCTGGACCGCTGCTGCCTTCATTATCGCAGCACGTTTTATCTGCTGGCTCTCTCACTTGCGGGCCCTGCGGCAGAGCATCTCGTCTCAACGCGAAGAAGAGCAAAGGGTGGATGCTTTTGTGTCTGTTTTGCTGGAGCAACAAGGTTTGCTGCTGCTGCCGTCAGAATCAACAGCCAGCTGGAAGGGAAAAGTCAGCGCAGTCTTCCAATGAGCTGTGCTGGATTATAAACACCTAGCAAACCTAGAGGTGATGCACACCACAGACTGACCAGAAAGTTCTCACAATCGCTATTTTGCCTTAAGCTAACCTTTAGACACTCTACAAAAGGAACCACGTAACTCAGCCCAAATTTGGAACGAAACACAGAGCTCAGGCAGAGAGTTTTATTTGGTAAGACTGAAAGAAAATCAGAGAGGAGAAAATCAGATGTTGCTGTGCTGTCACAATCCACTAAAGTACTGCAGATGCCTTCAAATAACATGGGCGGGATGGGTGGGTTTGAGAGGACCAAACAAACATCACTTATCCTTTTACAGTCAAGTGTGCTTGTCCGAATTTTTTCCACTTTCAGATCAGAATTCCAATATGTGACGACGTGACAAAAAAAGAAAAAAGGTCTATCTGAGGAACGTCGCAGTATTCTTGTGAAAACAGTCCCACTGGCAGGAGTGAACTCCTGGGCACTCAACCAAGCCATGTCCTGGAACACACGCACTCCAGGTCATAAAGCATGCGCTCCATCCAACCTACATTTTAACTTGTCTAGTCACTCAAAATGGCTCCTGTAAAATTTGATGAGCTTTAAGCAAAGTCTGTCTGAAAGACTATAATGGAATTGCGATGCAGAAGTAGACTGAGGCAACAACAAAATAGCAGTTACATAATTTCCACCATAGGCTTTCAGCGCGTTTTCTATTCAATAAAAAAATCTTTCTTTTGTATTTGACCATTAAGTCACTTTCTTTCAAAGAAAAAGGCCATTTTGAATGATATTATGCTAAAAAGGCTAAACATAATAAGCCTACTCTGATAAAATGTTGGGTTTTATTTACAGAATTAGCAGCACCCAATCACATCCTTTCAGAACAGGTTGTTCTTTGATTTTTTAAAGAGACTGCTTGTAAAGTTTTAATGAAAAAAATTTAAACATGTCTTCTCCTCTAAAAAGGCCCATTTCTAGGTCAGAAATCTTGTAATATCTGTAAAAATGTATCAATCATGTTTAAGGATATTTGAAACATCAATATTATGGAAACTGGATTATTATTGAAGGAAAGAGTATGTAATTATTCTGGTTAACAATAATTTGAAAAAACATTTTTTGGTAAGTAGTTAAAAAGCTAGCCTAGCTGGGAAATGACAAAAAACAAAAACAAAAAAAACTGCTGGAAAAAATTCAATCTCTTTATGCCTTGGTGTGATCTACTGTTTTCTACTTTTTTTTTTTTTTTCTCTCGTCGGATGTTTGTCTCAGTGCAGTGCCTTGAGGATACACATATACGCTGCCACTATGATTCACAATACAACTACCTGTGGCAATGGTTCTGATCAAAATCTGAAGCGCACAAGTCAAATAAACTGAATAGGCCACAGAATAGTGCAGCTGTGGAAGAGCTACAGTGCTTACAGATGTGGAAAAAAGCGAGACTATGAGATGAGAAAGAATAATAATACAACTGCAAGTGTGAAAGGCACAAGCATTAGAAAGGATGCTTAGCAGATGAACAATTTAAGAATAGCTAGTTAGAGAAACAGAGACAGAGGGAATGAAATAGAAAAAAGAGAAAGACAATAAAATTATGCTCACAGACTGAAATCGATCTCATTTGAATGTTTTCTATTAATTTCTACCAGCAATTTACATAGTCTTACTCTTTTTAAGCATTTTAATTAGACTATTCTGTATGCAGCTGCTGTTGTCTGGCCATATCCTTTAAAGGCTATATGGAGGGATCCATCAGTTTAAATATGTTTAAACATGAGATAAATGTTTAAGTGAGCAGTGCAAGAAAATACCGAGTACTTCACAAGCAGAGACTAACATGAATTTTGAGGCAGGACAAATGACCCTGTTCAGTAAAGGCCCCTCCATTGTAGTGTAGTTATTTTGGAAAACAGTGAGTCACAAATGCATCAGTTTCCACAGCTGATAACCAGTAGCTTCAGCTTATAGAGGATGAAACCACAGATGCTTTTCAAAAACAGCAGAAGGAAAGACATAAGGGCAGATTGTAGTATACAGGCACCATCATATTGACAAATATGAAAGCCTTCCATTTCAACAGAATCTTGTTTATCTTCCTCTTTTGTTTGAGAGTAAACAACATTCACCTGATAATGTTTCAATACAGTGAGAGGGTTAAGGAGAAAGCAGTTAACAACTTTAAAAGAAGGAGAATGGGCTTAAAAATGTTGGGTGCAGTAATGAGTCCCACCTTCTCCTGGTTAAAGGAGTCCATCCGCTTCATTGCTTTATCTAAAGCCATCATAGATTCCAGGAAGGCCTGGTCCTGCTCACACAGCGGGTTACTCAGCAGATCTGCAGAAATCTTCACAGCTGCTTTGGACATGGCTGAAAACCAGAAAAATAAGGACAATACCATTAGACACAGTTAAAATGATGAGTGAAACACTGACAGTTAACAGATCTCACCAGTGTACAGATAGTCCTTTAGAGGGAGGTGTACTGATATTGCCCAGTACATCAAGAATCTTTGCTACATTTCTATACTGACAGCAGAAATCCCTGTTAATATGCACAATTGCCACATTTTACAAATGCAGAACAGTAAAAGAAAAAGTGGCTAATCTGAGGGGAGACAGCCTGACGCTGAAAAGTATGCTGAAAATGATATTCTTTTTAAAACAACTTTCACAATTAAAAAACAACAGTGACTTTTCTGCATTTGGATCATTCGGACCTCTACTGTTTAGACAAATGCAATTAAAGGGTCAGGGAAATAAAAAAAATGACCTGAGGGTATTATAAGCAGTGACATTAATGTAAATAATTATGTAAAAACGAGAAAAGAAAAAAACAAGTCAAGGTGCTAAGTATTTTATTCTTAAATCTTAGTCGCTGCTGACCGGCTCCTCCAGACTGGTCATTTTCCCTGACTGCAGGGTGGCCGGCTCTCTACTGTGGTGGTCCCCAATGTCATTCACATGACTAAAGTGAGTCACTCATCCCACAGACAGATGCAGAGCCGACCGCCTTGGACAGCAGCTGGCACTGGTGGTCTAAGCTCCCAGAGGCTGCAGACCAGAGTGAGGGGCATCCTCACAACTGCACAGCAAAGACTTCACCAAAGAAAATATCAGCTCAGAAACAGGGAAAGACGAGAGACGCCTATCCAGGACTATCTGCCCAGCATCAATTCAACTTTTAAGTTAAAACGCTTTCTTTTGCCCTGTTACAATTTTTAAAATTATTTTGTAATTGGATGCTGTTACCAAGATCAATCCTTTAAGGCAGTAAAGCTCTGAATACCACTACCAGGGACTTCATAAATGAAGGTGATCATAAGAAGAGAAGATAGACTCAGGTACAGTGCTGATATGAGTAGCTTTACTTCTATCCCGGTTAACAGTTGGTGGAGATGGGACCTGTGCAACAGATGGAATCCATTAACAATAATGAGGCCCTGACAGCTATGTCACTTTGATGATGCAGACATCCATATTCCAGAGCACAAAGGAGAGGAAATGAAGGAGTCTCTTGCTGATCCATCCGTCCCCACTCCTCCACCCCCACAACTGACTATTCACCACAGGCCATGTCTACTGCTACCCCCCAAATACACAAATCCAAAACCAACAAATAAGCAAATAAATGTAGGGTAAACATGGTTTCTGTTGCTGCCAAATGCATACATAAATGACGACACAGGCCATACACAAATCTAACCCTGAACAAGTACCGCACAAAAAGGAGGACAAACCCACCCGCAGATAGTCTTGCGAAGACTGTAAAGGAAGAATAAGGTAAGCGCTCATGTTCACTTATTGTCTTATCTGTCATACAATCTAGGCAGTTAGCACACCACAGATAAACCAAGAACACCAAACATCTCTGTCCCAGAAAAACCTGCCAAGCCACATCAAGTACGTCAGTGAACAAGTGGAGATCAATGCAAAATCTGGAAATAACACACAATTTGCTGACAGAACACACCTAAATCAGCCTCCGTGCTTTTCTTCATGTCTTTGTGAAGCTTCTTTGTCTGGTCCTCCAGTCTGTTGGAAAGGAAGAAGGATTTTCAGTTAGCTTCTAATCGGGTGCTTTTTTTTAATATTCAGCACTTACCTGCTAAAAACATGTTGATGCAGACAAATAGATACAAAAATCGTTGAATAAAAGATTGATGAAGATACAACTAATGTAAAACATGTATTGTTAAGAAAATAAAATAAACTTTTCATGTCAATGCTTAAACATAAAATCTGTTATCTAGTTAATCCATGGAATTCTTCATGTTACCATCAACTACATCTCTCCTCAAATGCATTAATGTCTTCAATCATTCCACTGCACAAATTCCTCTGATGGGTGTTAAAAAGGCAATTAACCAACAATGGAGGCTGAAAACTGGCGCCATTCATCATATCAATTAAGGCAAGCGAGGGATTTAGACTCTCCCAGGAGACAACTATCACATCACTTTGCTGTGTCTGACTAAAAATGGAACGTTACTGGGTCTCATTTCCATCATATTCTGTGTGGGGGAAAAAAACAAAACAAACCAAATATGAGAGAAAAATTAAGATTCCGAGTAAAGCTAATATAAATATGGTACATAATCACAAATGGTTCATTTTAGAAGCTGCAAATCTTTACCAATATCAAAACGTTTACAAGAGAAGTAGAAATATTCACAGTGAATAAAACGATCTATTGAAACGTCTACTGTTCTGACTATTTAGTCGTAGCTGGGCATAACACAACCTACTGAAGTAATGGGAATCAGCTTTTTACATTTGATGCATTTCACCCAGTCAGAAATGAATATTTCTACGTGCAGGGAACAGCTCGTACTTTATCAAGAACAGTAATTCTAGCAGGTTTTTTTATGTTATGTCTTTCTGTGAAGACATCTTCTGAGACAAGTTTGATTTGGTTCAGAACGATGAATGAATTCAGGACATTGCTTTTTGTCTTTTGTTGGAAATATTTGAAGGACATTTAAAACCTGACATCAGAGAGTGTTCAATGCAGATGCCTTTTTAGACAGATCTGAGGCAGACCTGGAACAAGGACGTTTTCGCTGACACTGTATTAAACATCTGTAAACACATATGTGTGGTCAGTTTTATCTGTCTCTGTGAAAGCAGCAAATAGATACAACTTAACTTGATAGGATTTACAACACTGAATAGAAATTAGATAGAACACTTAAGTTTATTTTGGTAATACGTTGACAGTTTATAGTTAATAGAAACAAAATTGCACAAAATGAGATGAAGAAACTAACCGTACAATGAAAAAACCCACCCAGTCATAGGGATCAGATTGCCAGATAGCTGGTAAAAGAATATGACTGTGTAAACACACTAGCGTGCTCTGAGAAAAGTGCCAGTGCTTTCCAAATGCACTCTTGTTGTGCTTGTTTGTGCAAGTCAAACTCTTGTTCCAGACACCACCTCCTACATAAAAATGTGTTGCGCAATACTGGTGCATCTCCTCTACTCTTCCAGCACACGAACAACGAGAAAAAGCATTCTGGATGAGTGTCAAGTGAGAACCGGTGCTCGATTTCCAAAAGATTCTATTACGGCAACCAGCTGGAGCGCTGATGCTCCATGCACAGGTGCCCTGATGTTAGCTCTGTGCTGCCATAATAACCATGCCGCTTTACGTCATGAAAACTGGAATGGTGGCAATGTATTTCATTATTACTTTCAAAACCCAAGTATGAAACGTGTTAACGAGTACCCATTACAACACACTTGGAAATCCAGATCCAGTTAGGCTTCCTCTAAGAGCCCTCCACGGTAATTCTGCTTGTATTTTAAATTTAAAAAAACACTATCTGGGTACATTTTTTTTTCTTCTTTTAAATCAGACTTTAAAAAGCTGTTCAAAAGACAAAAACAGGTTTTCTTTATGGATCAAAAGGAAAAAATACTGATAATTGGTACCCAGAAGGGCACCTCTCAAACCCCTTTCAGTTCAAAATGATTCCAGAGCTGGCCCGGGCTGTGAGCTAGGGCAAGTTCAGATTTTGAAGAGAGTCACTGTGCAGTTTGTCCAAACACATCAGTGTTTCTCCAGTTTTCACTGTGAATCTTTACCCAGTCATGTTTGACTGCTGCTTCAAAAACACTCTTTGCAATGCATACTGGCATTTCCAATGGCACATTGGTATTAACGAGCATCAGAGCAAACAGAATTTATACATGATAATGAGAAAAAGCTCTTTAAATTACAGTAAATTAAAAACACTGACCATCTTTTGCCTAATAGCCGCTTGGATACGTTCCATCCCCCAACAACCCTGAGTTGGACTAAACACATATAGAATCCGGCTGAATGATTGAATAGGCTGACTGATAGTTATGGAAAATGCATCCTGCCAATAGATGTAAACGTAACTTTAAACTTGGTTTAAAAGCACAGATGGAAAATCCTACTGTGTGTAAATCATTGGATTGTTTTAACTGACGAAATTAAAATATAATAAGCAGGAAAACAAAAGGCACACTGACCCTATATTATATCCATGCCCAGTCTATTGTTTGTGCCGTTAACTTGAGTTAAGCCGGCAAAACAAAAAGAGCAAATTACAAATTTAGAACAAAACAAGAAAGAGACCTTTTTTTCTGACTGATTTCAACATTTTGCTCACAGATTTGGTATTATGAGCTTTTTCTGTGAAAAGCAGGCTGCTCTGCATTAGAAGATCATAAGCTTTATGTATATTGGCATTTATGTAATCATTATGTTATTAAAATCCCTTTACAATATGAAATTGTAAACGACCTAAGACTGCCGATTGGATTTTAAAGATTTGAAATGTGGTTTGTGCTACTTGGAGGCCATGGATCCACAATGTGTTGATATAGATCTCAAGGGTGGAGAGTCTTATTGTCTGTACATGCCTGCTGCTCTGACTCATCCATAAAGGTCTATTGGCACCACACCTTCATGATAAAGGGCCCTCCTACTCCAAAAAAAAAGAAAAGAAAAAACTGTTCACCCACTCATTTTACTGGTCCCTCAGGGAGTTTTTTGTGACCTAAAGTCTTCAGTTTTAAAGTGAACCCCACTCTCCTTGGTTTCACTGAACAACAGCTTTATAAACTAAGCTGTAATATTGTTTTTAGCCATCAACACTGATGAGAAAAACAGGGCATAAACATGGATACTTTCAAAATTATATGGTAAAAATCATAAGTGATCAAACTCAAAATGAACTCAACTCAACAGAAAAAATAAATCCCATGTCAAATAAGTTATTTGTTTACAGAAAATAGGAATTAATCTCCCTGTTAACTAATGTATGAGCCCCCCAGAGTGATGATTCAGAGAAATCTGTTACTGCATATTTATCACCTAATTTATAAAAATTGATAAAAAATAGTTTTAAAAAGCTATTTCTCTATTGAGCAAAATATTCAGACAATGGTGCTTTCATCTAGGTAAAGGTAAACCTTGAATTGAATAAAATAAATGATAACTTTATGTGAGTGAAGGTGTAGGATATGAGGAGTGGTCTTTAATCAACCTAGGAATAATGTCTAACCAATGTTCAAAGATGTAACACAAGCACATAACACAGTGTGATTTAGCATATTGTAAAACATGTAATAAATAAAAATACACAATGCACAATAAAAAAATCAAATAAAAATAACTTTAAACATCACAAAAATCTTGATTTAAATGATGCAAACTTACTTTTGGAGTTTATCATATTCTCGCTCAAAGTCTCTCTCAACCTAAAACAAACAAAAAATCAAAGTATGAATGAATGCTTTTTGGGGTTTTGAGGCTTGTCTTTTACTATTAAACTTCTCTCTACTTAGTCACCTTTACCATAGGAATTATACAGCCATGTACTTTCTCATGGTCTGCGAGCAGAGCAGGGCTGCCCATAGTTGAAAAGGTACAACTTTTAGTAAGATAAGAAGTGGCTATATCAGGTTCCATGTGAGTGAAATGTCGGTATGATGTTTATCAAAGAACTTGCTTTTACTCTGCCTCTCACAAGACCTGTTGTCAGTGGCATGGGTGCATCTACTGCATCTGCTTTCATCACTCTTACCTTTTGTGATAACTAATTATTTTACGACCAAGAATTTTAAAATACAAGGTTGTATCCAACACTATCAATCCAGTAAAGCACTCAGATTAATTAAGAATAGTGTCAGTTTTCCAGCGCTAGCCTTTCCCACCGTGGTTTCATTTTTTAACCTCCTGATAACCTTAATCTAAATCAGGTCAGTCAAGTGAAGTTCAGTGCTAAATGATGTGAGCCGACCTTTACGTAAAGCCCCCGTTTCTGAAGTCTGAGTGTGGCATAATATAGTTTGTTCTTCCAGTTCTTAAAAACATGTGAAACAAGCTACAGAGCCCTAATGGGTTCCTGTCTTGTGGCTCTGTGGCCGTCTGGAGATAAACAGAGTGGCAAAAATAATAAAGGAGACAGTTGACACAATGTCATAAGTGGACCTTCTGAATGGGCTCCCTCTAACCCACACCCTGCTTTTGCTTGGGATGGCACAGGAAGTTAGAAACCTGGTCAGTCATCGCCGGGGCCACAAACCCATTACAGTGGAAGTGGTTTTCAAGCAAGGGGAACTCCCACTCACTGTCACTTCAAGGTAATCACTCCGGCCCCCTGAATTGATATCCAAAACGTCTGCTGGCTACAGCCAAATAATGACCGTCTTTGGACCACTGGTCACTGTGCACATAAAAAATGCTTCTCTCCGTTCTTTTTTATTTTATTTTTTTCAATGTGCAAATAGAGTGACGGTTTAGACTTACAGTTTTAGAGACAATCTGTTTTTTGGGTTGTCCAATCTTGAAGGGAATCCTGAAATGACAAAGAGCAGTGAGAGGTGACAGACATAAGCAAGAAGAAAATAACTGAAAAAAGGTGAGATTATTAAATGCTTAGATTGTCATCGGTTGCATGATGCCTGGGCACAGGTCAGCCTGGGTGAATGAGCACCTTTTTAAGATCAATGACAGAACGGTGGGAGGCTGTTAATCCCTGTCCCTCTCTAGTATGCAGTCAGTGCCATATAGATTAACTTCATGTCACCGCTGATCACATCTGGCTCCCCCTGCAAACGGATATCACTCAACAGAAGTGGCTGTGCCCTCCTCTCTGGGTGGTTTTGAAGCATGACCCCAGCTGGCAATCAAACACAGATGCATTATTGTGCATCAGGAATATGGCAGGCCTTGTCCAGAGTGTCAGCAGAAAACCGGACAAGACAAAGCCAAGACATTTAACAGCGCCCAAAGATGTCACAAGGTTTACTGCTTCTGGAGTAGCTGCACGCAATGTTCAGAAAGACACAACTTTTCTGCACTTGTGAGAGGAAATACACCAACATCCCAACTCTAAAAGAAAAGGGAACACGTTCCTCATTTAAAACACAATCTTTTATCCCCCTTTTCAAAACCTTGCCTATGCCTTAATAAGTTGCAGCCTTGGGTATACAGGATGAAAATAAAAAACTCCACCTTAACAATATAACCGACTCTGGGTTGTCATTGATGGGGCTCTAATGGTTTGAAAACTAAGCTATATGATGGACAGTCGCTGCTGACAGGCAGGGTGAGGCAGCAGCTGCGTCAAAAGAAAGGTGTGTTGACTAATGAGATGGAAAAGTGAGGGTGTGATGTAGGGGCTCGTTGTGCAACCAGAGAACGATACTGATGGGTAGGAAAGATGGTTTTGATGACAGCTCAATCTAAAAACTCTGCAGAGTAAAATAACAGCAGGATTACCATTGTAATAAAAAAATAAAAAAATAAAAAGGTTTCACTACTATTTCAGGTGTGAAGATTTCATTTGAATTTGCTTGTTGTGTAGTGTACTTCCGGGTAACACTAGGTTTGTAACTGGCCTCGTGTTTCCATCATCTGAACTCAAACATTTTGTTGCCTTTGGCTGATGAAACAAGTTTCACCTTTTGTCACGGTCATGGAAAATATCCAAAGAAATTACTAAGCCACAATTTACGTGACTCACCCTTCCCCCCATTACCTGAGAGATACACAATGATGTCACACTAAAGTACGTATGCATGCTTGTGTAAGATCTGTCAGGGATTCCATCCCCGGACTGCACCAGATACGTCACCTAGCAGGTCTCAGAGAATAAACTTGGGCAGAAGATCAGTCTCTCTTATGATCAACTAAGAAGGCTGGAGAGCAGCCACTTGAGAATCAATTTGGCCCATTTAGACACTTACAGACCCTCAGAAGCTCGTAGCTTGGGCCCGTAAACTTGTTAGTGTTGAATGCAGATCGTAATAACCAGTTCTGTCAGTGCTCTCAAGCTTCTGCATGTTGTAGCAACTACTCCACTCACAAGGTGATATGTCAGATTTGTCACAGGTACTTAAGATATTTTCTAGATCAATTTTTAAAAAAAGTTCATGTGATTTTAATTCAAATCTAATTCAAATCACTCATTAACAGAAACAAAAATAAAAAAGAATATAGAAATATTTTCTTGTTACCATCCTAAAAGTATTTTAGTTTGTCTTTGTGGGTTGACTTATGTTTTATGATGCTGTCTGTGTGCAAAACAGGGGTCTTTCACACACACATACACAAAAAAAAGGTTACGCAATTTACAGCCGAAATTTCACAGATCTCACCGAATTTTCTTTTGTAAGAGCAAACTAATTGAAAGCTGATTTTAATGTTCACTCCCATTTGGTGGGTGTTTTGGGATGAAAGGTTTGACAAAAAACCCAAGAAACAAGTTGAAAATAAACACGGCAACAGGGCTTCGGACGTTAACAATGCAAAGTGAAACTTACACGTTAAGCTTACATTTTGTCTTTTTCATGTTTCAGCAGGGACAGTAGACACTTCTACACAGGCAGGCAAAGCGGGCCACAATCCTAAACCACTCATTACAACTGGCAAACACACAAAGACAGGAAGGGGAAAGCCCTAGCAGAGGGTGATGGAAAGGGACGATGGCAAGGATCATGAGAATCATTCCAAAGGTTGCCTTGTAAATGACTTTTCCTGTGGGGTCTCACATTTACAACAATTGTTTGGTTTTTTTGTGTGAACCCACAATTGCAGTAAAATCCATTCTAAAAACAGCTGAAACAGAAAACAAATAACATTTCTAGAAACTTAGTTTGGTCCTAGTGATGACAAGCAACATAAACAGGTAGAGTTGGAATGCTATATAGCTCAACTGGTTATGCAAGTGCCCCATGAACAGAGGATTTAGTTCCTCAATGGCCACGTTTGAATGCTGGCTGGAGGTTCTTTGCTGCTCGTCTTGGCCGCTAACGTCCAACTTTGATAAAGATATCTACACGTTCTGTGGGAAACCTTTTTTTACACGTATAGTTTTGGACGACTAAAAATAATCATTTCAGACATTTTAAATCATCAGAAACAAATGGGTGAAATTTAATGTGCAGAGGTATCTGATCTGAGCTCTCATATGGCCCACATGACTGCCATCCTGCAAGTACGTAGGCCAGAACAAAGACACGACATTCTCCCTTATCCAGGACACATTATGCAGTAGCTTGAAGAAGCCATGCCTTCATTTCACTTTAACTGCAAATGTGTACACCATTAGGGAGATATTGCATCATTTGATCTCAGATCTTCCATGGAGCACAAAGAGCTGGTTTAAGATGTCTGGAAGTAGAATTGTTTTGATGATGACCCCAAAGTCAATCCTCTAACGTCATAGGACCAAGTGTGCAGGCCTTGATGGAATGCATCAGTCAGCAAAGCCCATAAAGAACTCTTTTCAATGGTGGAGCACTCCACTCTTGACCTTGCGTTTGGCAGTGCGTAATGGCAGCAGTTTAGCTTGCCAGCTATTGACTGTTTGCCTGTACTCGATGACGCCATCTTGCTTACAGTCTTGTCTGAAAATGACACTGTGACAGTGTAATCCATTACAAAGCTAGTTAAAGTACAAACACGTAACAGATGCAGCGAAAAACTCATTTCCGTTCAACCAGCATTCATGAATAGTGAACAAGAAATCATGGAGACATCTTTTTAAGGTCGAGACATGGGCACACCACAGCTGGCTCCAATGCCTTCAGTTCTGTCACTTGAGCGTTAATTCCCCTCGCACTTTATTTCATATGTACCCAAAACAAAAACACAGGGGACATGGAGCAGAGTGTCCAGTGATGTTTAAGGCAAGAATTGTATCACTACAACATGGCATCTGATCATGGGCTTGCTTTATCTTAAGACTTTAACGACGCAACGCTTCAAAATTGATCTCTGAAGTTTTAAAGTTGGAACATTTCCCCAAAGTATGGACGGTGTGAAGAGACTTAAAAGACACAAGGATAAAAACTCAGTAGACGGTGTTTGAGTGCAGCTCTGGGAGAACCCAGTGCAGTTTTGTCTGTTTGGGAGTATTTCAGAGAGGGTGAACTTTGCATGAGGCCAAGGCACACAGTGCCGGGAATAAAAACAAAACAAACAAAAAACAAAGAATCAATTGCTGTTAAAAAAAGTTCTACTAAGGCAAGCCAGTGTGAATAAATGAACTTATGGGAAACACCATATTCAACTGATTTAACAGTAAAGGTCTGAATCTTTGCTGGCCTCGGGATTAGATTATCTGATCTGGCCAGATCCATCTCATTGCTGCACAACCATACATCTATGGTTTATCTTATTGATATTTATTGCTTAAAAAAATATAAAATATTTTAAAAAATGATTTAAACAATTGTGGACTGGCGGTCCGTCCAGGGTGTACCCCGCCTCTCGCCCAATGACAACTGGGTTAGGCTCCAGTTACCCCGCAACCCCATTAGGAAATACGCAGTTATGAAAATGGATTGATGGATGGATAGTTTCACAACTGTTTATAGTACCAGTGTAACAAGTCAATCCTGATAAACTCTGTAACAGAACTGCAAAGCAGATCTTGTATACTTCCATCTCACAATTTGGAAATACAATGCTGTGATTTTTCACATGTACAGGCTTGTGACTAATGTGACTCAGACAGTCCACACTGAGGTCTATGAAAAAAAAAGAAAAAAAAAACATCTATCATAAGTTCAGAGAAAGGTAACAGCTCTGAAATAGTCTGTTTAAACGTTTTTTATTGGAGCAATGCAGCTGAAAGTATGACAGTCTGAAAACTGAAGTGTTGTCTCAATGCTTTCCGCTGTTTTCTTTCACTGCAATACATTTTCAGAATTATCAGTGGCTCTATAAAGATAAACTCCCTTAGAAGTATGAGCAATATAGTAATACAGTGATAAAGCCTTTACTTTAATTATACTTTTAGCTTGTTTGAAGACATTATTAGCAATACACTGTACAATGCAGCCAATCATTTTATTCTCAAAGTAAGTTAAAAAAATAAACATATCTTCTGATAAAGGACATGTATAATATTTAGTATTTCTGTTTTAATAATAAAATCTATCAATAAGAGGTTATCAAGGTTGTTGTAGATGGAATTTTTCTACCCATGAGATCAACTTTTACAGACAACAACTTTTACAGACAAGTTAAAGATTGATCAACAAATTGATTCAGAGAGGGGAGAGTGTTTCTTGGAAACACCCATGTAAAAATAAAAATGCACTCTGAAGAACAGAGTGCTGTTACACAAAACAAAATGTTTTTTTTGCTTTGACAGCTGTTATTATGGTGTAGCCGGTTTAAAGATAAAATCAGATTTTTAGTGTAACTGTCAAATATTAAACTTGTCCTTTTTTTAAAGATTGATGAAGCTCAGAGGGCTACACTGATTGTAAAGCTGAGGGTTTATAGAGGGGACATGCAACAGAGTTATTACACCATGATTTGTGCCTGGTGAACAGAGAATGTGCAAATAGGCTGGGACATCAGCACCAACTTTTTGAGAAGGTCTCTCTCAATACCTTTATTAAAAACCATTAGTGTCCGCTTACATTTTTCATATTTTAACTGAAAGAATAAATTAATTAATAAAATCGTCTGTCAATTCCCTTGGAAATATGAAAGAGGGAAAAAAAGGGAGGTGACCTTACAAGGCGCAACTGAATTGTACAGCTGAATGCTAAATCGGCTATCTAACATGCAAGCATTGTGCTGAAATCCAACCTCTTAATAAATCTTTTTTGTTTTACTTGCCTCTGACGGATATGTTTACCATCTGGACCTAATTATAAATTAACCGAGATGTGGCTTTAGAGGATTTTACAGCACAGGGACGCTCAATAGGGTCCCATGAATAGATAAGATAGTTAGTAACTTTTGATGCAAAGCATACAAAAGAGCTAAATAACAAAAAGTAAATCGTTGCATTTACAGTTTAGCCAATAGGTAGGAAATGTGGCCACAGATAGTCCGATCCCTTTAAAGGGCTTACTGATGACCTGCTGACCCGACAACTAGCTACACAGACATATGTACCATAATGCTACAGGCACAACTTCATAATTTATGAACCAGCTACTATAACTTCATTATGCGCTCTTTATTTGAATGTTTATTTCTAGCAATGGCTAATTATTCCACACACTAACCTAACTATGATTGTTAATGATAGCTAAAAAATACTGTATCACCAGGTACTTAGACGGTTTCCTCACAAATCTTTCAGGTCAGGACAGCTAACTTAACCGGCTGCCTGCAAAAACAAAACAAAAACAAAAAAGGAGAAACATACATCCGCTTACTTTGTAAACTATCCCCTGGAAAACTAGCTAACTAACTAGGTCACCAGCAATGGTTTTGTTCACAACCCCTCGGAGTTTAAAAAGCTAAAGCTAACTACAATTCTTCTTCACTGTGTAGCTCTTCCAGGAACTAGCCAGAACCTGGACGACCATCCAGTCTTTAATCATTTTCTGTAAAACGCTTAAAGTTACTCTTCGACCTAAACCATGTAATCAGTAATGTAGTCAATATACATACCAGCTCATTTTGAATTAACTTTTTTTCTGGTTTCACAGGATGGGAATATTATCTTCCGAAAACCATCGCTTTCTGCCACTCCACAGTCGTCTGTTTAACAGGAAGTCGCCGCAGCTGAGGCGCTCGTGCTTCCTCTTAAGTTTTTTTCACAAAACGTAAAATACTTACAATTGTGAGCTAATACGCTGACGACCGGATGATACGGGGGTGTTTTATTGATTTAAAAAGCGTATAAGATGTTATTATCTTTGTTTGTCTTACGTGCGCGGCGAGGTTGCGTGCGCGTGCACGTGGAAACACCAGTAAACGCAAGTTATATTTTTCTTTATTCAAGTACTTACATAGAAATAACAAAACAATTGCATTACAACAAACTGAAGTGCCAGGTAAACAGGGGAGGACATCTCCCCACCACAAGGATATAGTAAAATTCATTTCAATATTCAGCTCATCATAAAAGGACCTTATTATAAGGTATTAAAACGTGAAATAGGCTAAAGACATCCACAACATTTTCAACAAGACCCCTTGTATTCTTTAACAAAAAAGCCAACAGAACAGATATCCAAATGTGTGTTTCCAGTTGTCTTGCATTGTTGTTCGGTTTGTCCCATTACACCCAATGTGACATTTTTTTCATGCATAATAAAGAAATGAGCACCACCCGCAGCATCTGAAGGTAGCACTTTGGAACATTTCCGTGCACATGCAAACATGAGGATATACTGGTAATGAAAGGAAACACAACACAACGGAAAACAGTGAGTATCGACTCAATCTAAACACCAGTGTCACTGTTGAAGACCACAAAATCCCTGAAGCCTCCCTGTAGTCCATAAGAAGACATGAGTTGCCTATAATATCTACATATTATTGAAGTTTGTCCTTTTAAAGAGGATCCAAGATTATTAATTGCCATAAGTGAGCCAAAGCTAACACCTACAGCCCTGCCCAAGGCCAATTTTGCAGAGACTAAATCAAATAGTTACATACAAACATTAGCACAAGGCTGCCTTTAGCTACAAGCAAACGGAGGTCACAATTATGATTTGTTGCTCTGGTGGGGTTCTTGTCATGTATTGTTTTTGGTCAGCCAACCCTGCAACCCAGTTTGGCAAAAGGATGGCTGCTAGTGTTGGCTCAAATCCAAAATGGAGAAGAGGAGGAGACAAATCCCAATTTCATAATTTTTTGTCACCTACTTTTGGTCAATAGGACATAAAGCACATAAATAATTCCTGGAGAGACATCATCAAGAATAACTTTGTTTCTGATCTCAAAAGCTCATTTGTGTGTATCTATAGCTTTCACATCTTATACAGAGCTGTGTTCAGAGGACCATGACACAGCCTGAATTGTAGTTTAACAGCCAAACTGCATTGAAAAGGAGAATGTGAGGGATCATATCTGTCTTACAAAATCTAAAGAAAGTCACAACACAAAAGTGACAGACACATTGAAGCTGATGAAATAACGTGTGTGCAGATTCATAATTACATGGCTTCATTTGGATGTGGAAACAGTTTGGTGTCGTATCTGCCTCACTTAGCATCATTCTATAACAGAAAGCAACACAAACATGTATTTCTCATAGAGGAGAGGGTAAGTTATGGTCAAATATTCTCTAAACAATCTGGAGTCATTTGTAAACAATCTAACATCAAATCATTATCACAGATCCACATGTTGATTTTCTTTTTACCTTGTGTGCTAAAACGCACTTTTCTGCCTATTTCATGGGATTGTATATGGCACAATGCTTGCACTCGTGGCTATTATTCATTAAAATCATTAACCTAACATATGAAATAGTAAATGATCTGAGATTACAGTTAATGAAATATGTGTAATTTATCAATCTTGGAAGGTGAAATTCATCTTGGATCATTTTTTTCCTGCTGCATTACATAATCTAAATTGTCTGTGTCCAGCAGTGGGATGGAACTGAATGTATTCATGATGCAAACCAAATAATTTGTTTTTAGATGTAGCAGGCTATGTGAACTTTTAAACTTTTTTTAAAAAGGTGCAAGAAGGTCTGTTCATTTAACCATGTAGATGAGCTGAGAAAAGACTCTCTGAGGCTAGATTAATTGGAAAATAAATGGATACTTGCCAGGAAGCTCAGCAGTGAAAACTGTGGCCTTCGAAGCTCATTATTGCATGCACTGTGTTCTCTGCACTGTTTGTCTGAACCTTTCCTTCGGCCTTTGCATTTGTCTTTTCATGTCCTCTTTTTTGCCTGATATTCATGTCTGCACACTGGCACAATATTTTTACACCAGCTGTAAAAAAACGTTTGAAGAAAAAGCTTTGCAGCCAGAGAGCTCAGCATGTCATCACAAATGCGGTAAATAAAATGCCAAGAAGCAAGTTTCGTATGAAATGTGGTAAACGAGAATTCATCTAATACTTTGGAAAGTATCCGATATTTCTCAAAAGGCTACAACTTCATAAATATTTTTCGTATTTTCTTTTTGACTGATCCAGCAACGGCATGTTTGACCGATTTTTGCTATATTGTTCCTTTGTATAGTGCATTGAATATCTAAAAATTTTTTAAATGTCCATTTACATTTCTTCTCATTTATATCATAAATGAATTAAACGTATTGCATGTAAATGCCACACCAGTTTCCCCATTATGATATTACTATTAGAGCCATCATTGCCCTGGAGGCAGAAGAGTGCTGATGCACACAAAGGTCATGCAAAGCATGTTTAAAGCAAAACTAATTTTTTAGAAATGTAGGTTTTGCTGTGATTTTTTTCAGCATCATTATAACATACTTAGATCTAAGTGAAGTCACTGGTCGAGGCGAGCCCACACAAAATGTTTCACTGAATAAAGAAACCGTGATTCTTTTCCATCAGCACAAAGATAAGTAAAGTAAGTGAAGAGTCATTAGGGAAAATGATTTGCATGCCCTGCAACGTATTATCTTTACGAGATGTATTTGGCAAATGTCTAAAATGTCCAGTGTTTTCATACAGTTGGCAGATTGTGGTAATTGAAATAACCAATATTTCTTAATGGAGATATACAAAATGAAGAAAAAAAATTCATTTATTAAGAGAACACATTAGTGCTTCCTTAAACTGATTTTTGCTTTAAAGCGTACAGATGGAGCCAATGCTATTGTTGTCTTCCTCTTTTTTCATTTTTTTTTTTTGCGTTTTGAAGTGAAAGATAAAACACCTTCTCTGGCACCACTGCAAAGATGCAAAAATATTTGCAAGGACCTGTGACAACAAAATATTTTGTGTTATAACTACATTACTAAAAGCTTTGAGACATACCCTGCACAAGCATTCAGTCAATTGAAAGTTCTTGTTTACGCAGACATTTGTATTTACATAGTGTGCATGAAAGAATGCACATGTATGCACAATTTAATACTGAATTATGGTGCATTTGACATTTGAGTACAAAAGTGAAATTTCTATTGTAGCTACCTGCATACATATTTGTGTACTGTACAAGAAGAACAACACCTTAGAGTAGTTTACAGCTCAGTCTCTGTATTAGAAATATGTAAACATAGGTTGTGATAAAAAAAAAAAGAATATCAATGTTATTCTCTCACCATATACTGCTCATCTTTTGGTGACTTATAAGAAGTACTTTAATCTTTTTACACCAAGAATTACAAAGAAAGGACCTCATTCATCTTTATCTTAATTCAGCTTTCCTTCTATGTACTGTTGTTATTTTTACCCCAGTGTTCTTTAATTAAGTAGTCCAGTCTGTCTAACTGTGTTCTTAGTTAATTTGATTTACTTGACGGTGGAATATGTCATGACTGTATTGCATATAATTGTACAACTCATGAAAATGAAAAATTAACATCATCAGTAAGATAAAAAAAAACACATCTTAAATTATAGCTGACAACAACTTAAAGCCACCATATAAAAAGGCAACAAAAATACACAGAATCTCACAGTGACTAAAAATAAATAAGTATTGGCAAAGGCATCGGTTTCTGCAGGCATATTTCTGAACGTGACAGGACAGGACATCGTTTGGCTCTGTGTGACCTCGTCAATCGTCATGTAGATGTAACCAGATTTTTGCAGGTTAAACTCAATCCTCCAAGCAAGGAGAGAGATCTTTCCGTTAACTCAAGAACCGGGCTGTGCTGAGCTGATACTGCTGTTGGGTTTGCAAATGTCAGGCACAAATATAAGAACAAGGTTGGCTGCACCACCACAATACATTTGGCACATTTTCTTGAGAAAACGACATTCAAATGGGAAAAAAAAAGGAAAAGAAAAAGTCCACACCTCAACAACAACAATAAAAACATAGACAGTCAGGTGCCACTATCAAAGAATTCATGACAGCACACAAATCTAACCAATTGCACTTTTAAACAGCCTAATAAAATTAATGCATACATCTCAGACAACTAATCCTTTAACATAGCTCCATTTTCATGTTGTGGGTACCCCCATCGGGAATTCTAGCTTCCTTTCAATTAATAAAATTTCTGTAAAATTTACAAAAGTGGATCCACCTCAAAACCTATAAACACAGTGGCCTTTTTGTGCCCTTCTTTGTGTTGACACTGTTTTTTAGAGTAACAGAGGCTCTGAATTGCTTGAAACAAAGGGACAACAGCCTTTCCACTCTTACTTAAACTGAAGGCATCCATCTCAAAATAGAAGGAACTGAACGGAGCAGGGGTGTAAAAGAGAAGAAAAGAGTCACCTATTGATCTCACAGAGGATGGGATTCCTTCTTCCTAAGTCTCTTTATGGTGTGTGGTGAGCGCCTAGTCCAAGTGCACGTGGTAATGGTCACGACGTTCCCACTGTGGGCCCCCCACAGGAGCTGGGGGGCGAGCTGTGGCTCCCCGCTGCCCCGCTGCTCTTGTCGGCCTGCTTCTTGTCTTTCTGTTTCAGGTGGACCTTTGCGTGTCTCTTTCGCTCGTCGCTTCTGGCAAACTTGCGTCCACAGAACTCACAGGAAAAGGGCTTCTCGCCGGTGTGCGTGCGGATGTGGGTGGTCAGATGGTCACTCCGGCTGAAGGAGCGCATGCATATTCGGCACTGGAAGGGCTTGTGACCCGTGTGTATGCGGAGGTGGCGCGTGAGCTCGTCCGAGCGCGAGAAGCGTCTGTCGCAGTTCTCCGCCGGACAGGCGTGCGGCCGCTCGTGGACCGGGGTTTTGCTGGGACGGTTGGGGTACTTCCGAGGACGGATGGGTTTGAGGGTGAGAGTCTGAGGTGGGGGGTGGTGTTGAGGCGGGTGCTGCTGGCCACCGATGAAGCCCGGGTGAATTTGCTGCTTGTCTTTGAATGCTCTGATGGTCTCCAGTGGCGTGATGGGCGGAGGGTTGACCCTGATGGGGTCCATGGTCTGGAAGGGCTTGTGTTCCATCACACCCACCTCTCCCTGGTGATGGAAAAGATTGTAGTCGGGGATCATGGAGAAAAGGTTGCCATCCATGGGTGCTTTGGAGGTGGAGTGATAGTCGTTGCCAGGGTAGGCTAGAGCCGTGCTGGTGGCCGGGCTGTGGTGGAAGGAGACTTGATCCTGATACAGGTCACCGCAGGTGGAATAGGCGGGCAGCGGTGGACCATAAACCTGCTCCATGTCTGACGTCTGCCCGCCCATGCTGGCTGCGGAGGATGACGTCTGTGTGGTCACTGTGCCGGGGGATGGAGAGACACCTAGGATCCCTGCACTGACCAGACTGATGATGTTATTATCGGGGCACCAGCCAGAGGCACCGATGCCACCTGAGGGTGGAGTGTCAAAGGCAAACTTCCCCAAATAGGTGACAGTTTGCCCGCTGCGGTTGGACTGGAAGCTGGATCCATACTGAATGTCAGAGGGTGCCTTCTCGCTCCCCATGCCCAGATCCATGATGTTATCTGAAGAAGAACAAGCAGAAACACAGATCATGAATAAGACATCCCATCCATTGATCATACTTCCAAATAAAGAGCAATCATTTCGCAAGAACATCTTGCGCAAGTAAGAATGTGGCAAAAAGTTGAGAAAAAAAGACTTTAACAAATCTAACTTTTAGCATGATAAATTAACTTTAACAGACTCTCCCAGGTTTGTCCAGAATGAAACTATTCTACATAGTCCTACGCAAGACGACAAATTAATAGCAATGAAATGCAAAAAGATTCCCATACAGTTCATGAAGAAAGTGAGCTCTGTCAGACCTGGAAGTTAAGTGACTGAGTGTTGCCTCTGAGAGAGTGGTGTCTCTCTCTCTCGCAGATCCCACAAGCTCTCATAAATCAAGACCTAAACACCCCCTTTGATCCAGTCATTGTGTCTCTCAGGAGGACAGCCAAACTGAATGGCAAGATTTGATGTCTTAACAGCAGGGAGGATTAAAAGGCAGACGCCACATCTTATCACACTCAAGAATTCAAGATGCTTTTGCAACAAAGAACATCTGAAAAGAAATGGAAGTGTTTCCATAATTTTCCTACATATAATTTTATTTGCATGTATATTGTGCTTCATGCATATTCATATTCAAAATATAAGATAAAAAATATAGGAAAAAAACTTATGAAATCGACAGACTATTACTGGGGGAATATGTCCGTGCTGATCTCTGAGGGGTAAATTTGGGATTATTTTTCAAAAATGAATTCTGAGTCATACATAAAAAAAGACATCTCTTTCCATTTACAAGGACTCATATACCGGGGTGTTTGTTTTCACTCCCAGGAATTACAACCTGCCACAATTTGACTGAAAGCAATTCTGAATGAACCAGAAAAAATGTATTGCACAATGTCAAGACTCTTATGAGAACTTGTGTCATTTTCTTCGTTTTTGGACTTGGCATGAGACAGATAAGACAGTGTTGTTAATTATGGAACTGAGTCCAAGTTTTAGCCTTAATTTTGCGTGCTTAGATTTTAAAATAGAAGAAGCAACTAAATTAAGTAATAAATATTTTCTTGTACTTCACCACAAGAATACACATGTTCCAATTGCTAAATCAGAACATGAGTCCTTTCCCTTTGCCAAAAATATAATTCCAAAATTATCAACATAAACAGATTTCACGGAGGATGAAGAGAAGTTTACCGAGATTTTGCGCTATGAAAAAAGAAACACACCCTCTTGCAACCTCTTTTTTTATTTAGTTTAGCTAATATCCTCAAAACATTCCCTGTCTGTCCTTATGAAAAATACATTTTATAGCCGTATCTGAAAAGTGTAAATAAAGCTGATTTGCTCATGGATGGCGGGCAGTTACATGCGCCAATTTGATACTTAAAAGTGTTGAATCCACCTGGCGCGTGGAAAATTCGGACACACACGTCTGGGATAAATCTGCCATTTAGGGATAAATTTAAACAAAGTGACCTATCAGAACGATCATAGAGTTTTCGAATTAATTTCTTTCCGCATTAATCCTGATCACTACATTGTATGATGAGCTTCCCTATAGATTTTTCCCCCTCTATATTGATCCACCACCTTAAAAGGCAAAGTAAGCTACTCAAAGTGTCTGATATAAAGCCTATCCAAGACTCTTAGAAAAACTAACAAGTCGCGTTAAGGTCACGCACCGGACTTCACCAATTAATCTGATATATAAATCAATATATCCGGCCTCCAGATTTATTAAATATGAGTCGGTGTACGGGCCTGACGCTTACATGTGTTTCACAGGAGAAAGCAGCCGCACACGCCTACTTAAGTCCACTCGGACATGTTAATAGAGTTGTGAATGAAAGTCATTGTTTGACTTGTTGACCCGCGCTCGCTGGTGGATGTGAAATCAGAGGCATTGTGGTTTGAGCTCGTAGTCTCAAACCCTGCGTTTCATTCAGGAGCCTCGTGCGCTTTAAACGGACTTTGCATAAAACAGTCTAACCACGATTCATGCATACACATATTATCCCCAAACGTGCTTCAGCATTTAAAAGTAAAAATCCAAAAAACACTGCTTAGATTCAACATCGCGATTAACGTTTGTATATGTTTTAAATTAAGCGACTATATTTTTCAAGCTCTTTTAGAGACGCTGACATCTCGGCAACGGGCAGCTGAATTCGAATGAAAAGAGAAAAACGCAAAAACAAAAATGACAAAGACGTCCTTAATTATAGAAAACTAAATGGATGCCCACTTTACGGGGATTGCTGTTAAAGCTGACCCCGGAGAGGTCCCGGGTGTTTCAGGACTTTCGCCTTTACGCGCAGCAGCCAGAGCGCAAACAGGTGCTTCCAGCCCGGAGACAACTGTTGCCGTCCTCGCGCATCGCAGCTCGAACCTCTTTTCAGTAAAGCACACACACTCACTCACACACACGCGCGCAGAAAAGTAAGTGAAAATCTTACCTGCGTTCATTTGCGAGTAGTGGTTTATAGATTCCGTACTGGTGAAAATATTCATAGACGTCGGGATGTCCTCTTCTGGATAGAGACTGTCAGGGATCGTGTTAATTAAACTGCTCATGGTAAGAGGGATCTTGTCCGCTAGTTTCCCTGTCATAGCAGTTATATTCAGTCCGACATTTATAAAGGACAGCGCGCAGGTATCCAAGTAGTTACAGCAACACCCAAAAAAAAAAAACACCGGGTGTTCTCAAAGAGGAAAACACAGGTGTTGATCGGGCTTGAAGAAAGGAGAGAGGTGCGGGGATGGATCCTGTTGCTGTAGCTATCCAAGTATCCCGCGGAGGACGAGCAGCGCTGGTTATCTCCCCCTGTGCGCTCACAGGCTATTGTTGTTATTAATCTGATCACTGTGGAAGCTGACGGGCTGCTTGTGGGGGAATTGGAAGTCTGTGAATCAATGGAGGAGGAGGTGATGGTGTTGGTTGAACAAGAGCCGCTCTACTAGCTCTATTGGAGCTAGGTGGGGGACTCCAGACAGCCCGTATAAAATAGTGGGCTGGAACATTGGCGTGACGTAGATGACCATATATGGACATGGGCGCCCAGCGCCAGGTCTCTCCGCGCGTCAGTCGGTGGAAACTACAGTGGAGGCAAAAGGCTCCGACAGAGAGATAGCAAAAAAAGTTTACCAAACTGGAATGGCACCTCCAGCCGCGTCCTTCTCCGGGACCAGCCGTTGGTTCTCCCCTGATTCCGTCCTTGGGAATATCATAACAGGGATTTATCAGCGTTCTATGTTTGTTGCTGCTAGTCCTTGTAATTCTTTCATTAGACTAACACAGCGAGATAGTTAGGCATGTGTGTGTGTGTGTGCCCGACTAAAACAAAGCATGTGTTGTGACTACAGAAGCTGTCACTCACAAAACACTTCTTTGTTTCATACTATTTAAGTATATTAAATAGTTCACTAATACTAAACAAATAAGTACATTCATTTATAAAATACAATAAAGTCGTTTTATGTAGGTTTTATTTCTTCTCCTATCTATTAGATCTCTGAAAAGTGTTCTAGTTTCTGCTCTTTTGCTCCATTGCAGAACAAAAAACTGCTTTCAGACTAATGTAATACTCTAATTGTCAGACTAAATAGTTTGTAAATATTGCAAGACTTTGCACAGGCTTGCTTTGACTTGGAGCCCAAGTGGCCGGCTGAGTGGAAACTCCATATAAGGCAGTGTCCGGTCACGCCCCTTCGTTTCTGTATTTGGGCATGTGAGTTCCGGGTGAAGTGGTAGTGGAAAAGTGATCGGAAGCCACAGACGTTTTAAGAGATGACAGTGGACAAAGCGTCATGGCTCGCTTTTAACCAACGTGCCAACTTGTGAAAAAAAAAATACACAACTTTTTTGGGCTGTCTAATGTTAAAAAAAGGATCCCACACCCCAACCAAATAACATTTGGTTAGAGAAAGTTAAAAACAAATTAAAAAAACAAGCCATTGGGTCATTGAATGATTTCACAGGCATGCCCGTCTCATTGCTGATACTACTGTAACTCTGATCAGTAACTCTGGTACATAAGCATAAATATTTCATATGATATTCACACTTCTTCTCTCATACTTGAAATAAAGTGAAAAGGCCTTTGGAGTCTTGTAGGAAAATACTGAATGAAATGGCAGTGCTTGCATATATTTCACAGACCTGAGAAATTAATAGTACCTCAATGAAGCAGAAGTGTAAACAGAGTGTGTGGGAGAATTAGTCTGAATCATGCTCAGTGTTTAGGGGGCTTATACAAACAGAGCAGCCAGGGATCTTGCGTGTCTCATTACCATGGGCAAGTCCTCAATGTGCTTTTCTTTATAAGTGTATGCCACAGCAGTAAAGCTGGGCTGAGTCTGCCACAGCAGTGGAGCTGAGCTCCTCTCCGGGTGTCTGGTGTGGTCCCGGGGTCTGGAACCGGAAGAAAAAAGACAGTAACTCACTCCATTCAAAGTTCAGCACACGCTGACAAACACAGATCTTCTCTTCCGGCATTTTCATCCATCTCTTACTGATTCATTCACATTTAGTGTCCAAGTCCATGTCAAACTAAAGGTAAAATTGCCCTGAGCCACATTATGAAGGTAAATGTTAAATAAAGCAGTTATCTTCAGCCTTTTAAACACCAAAGATGAGATGAGGGCACATTTGACAATTATATGTAAATGTATAATTAACAAAATTAAGAAACATTAACTTACTTTGAGATAGACAAACATCAGAATCTGTTAATGCTGTATTGTGATGCAGAGTAATGGCATGACCTTGCATACGTCAGACGATCACACTTAAATCGTTTAAAATATGTCCATATTTTGTCCATAAATAGAAGCTGCTCAGGTTGATTAGTACATTGGGATATTCATGGAAAAGGTTTCATCCACCGTTGGGTCTATGGATGCAAACCAATCTGAGAATCCCCCCAGGTGTGGTCCAGGACTTACTGTACTGTAGTGTTTTCCTAGGGGGAAGTGTTTGTCTGCATTTGTGGTTGGAAAGTTGGCCAGTTCAGTTGGAACACTTACCTGTTGCAGGGCTATTTCCTCGACTGTGAGATGGGTCACATGGGAGAGGCCTCATGTGTTGTGGCATGAGATCTCTCTTACTGCAGCACCCGGGTCTTTTGCATATGGGGATTCCATGGAAGCACAGGCTCATTTTAAGGGACAGTGGAAACTGTCCAATGCGGGGTGGATATATAGTCAAATTAGTTGTATTTTTTCCATGTTTAATGGAGAATTCTAAATTGGTCTATACAGTTAGTGAAGATGCTTGAGGGATAAAACTTTGAATAAATTTTGAATTACTTTAGAGATTTTTCTATTTAAAGAAAAAGAAAAACCTACTGTTATCGAGACTGTTTCCTGCACTACTGATAACAAGATTAGAAAATGTGCAATGATTGATTATGCCTTAAGATGAAAGTGCTATAAAGACAGGTAAACAAGTGCAGCCACATTGCAAAAATTGTTGTCTTAAAAAGCATCTTATTTATTTAAGTGCAGATTAGAAGAAGATTCAAGTGAGATGAAGAATGAAAAGATTCAGTCCAGAAATTACTGACAACATTTCAATCTTCATTAGGTCAAACGTTTACACAACTGAGAACAAGCACATATTATTGGCTCCCTTTGGCTGGTTCCAGGTGTGTCAATGCAAACTTTACAATTCAAAGTCCAAAATAGAAATTGGAATTAACCATTGGAAAGTAAACACACAGAATGCATCAACAGAACAAAAAGAAAGGATATCCTACATCCCAAAAAGAAAAAAAGAGATCTGGTCCTTCCTGGACCTTAAAAATAGACAAATGCAAAGCCAGGTGAAAAAGGGAACGCATGACATACCACACCATGTCATTACACGTTTAACTAGGCTAAACCTACACGTGGAAACAGCATTTGTAAATCGACATGCTTTTCTGCTCCCAAAGGATTTAAAAAGTCAAGCAGCAGCCAAGTGCCACTGATGAAATAAGAAGTAATGATCAGCAGGTTTGAGCATCTTAATAAAAGCAGAAGAGCTGGTAGATTGGAGCTACAGAGCAGTCAGGAGTGTGTTCACATAATGCCAAGACTTATGAAATGATCTTAGAAAAGTAAGTGTTTCTACTCATTAATCTGGAAAGAGTTATGAAGCCATTTCAAAATGATTTTGATTTCTCAATCCACAACTAGACAGACTGTTCTTAAGTGAATCATTCAAAACAGTTGTGAGTTTTCCCAGGGGCGTTCATCCCAGCAAGTTCATCCCAAGGTCTGAACCACAAGACTTATGGAAAAATGTTCTGTGGACAGAAAAAGCCAAAGTTTGACCTTACAAAGCTCCACAGTTGCATAAAACCAAACACAACGGATTGGCACAGACATCTTATCCCGTATCACATCCCTGATGGAGGGGTGGCGTTCCGGGATGCAGTAAGCAAATGTGAGTGTCTGTCTGACAGCTAAAGCTGGGCTGAAAACGTATCCTAACAGATTGATTCTATTCATACCGGCTAATCTACAATATTGTTGTTGTGTAAGTCAAAGTGAAGGTATTGTAATGACCCATTCAAATTCCAGACATAAGTCTGGATAGAATGATGTGGTGGGACTTTAAGAGAGCTGTGAATAAATGAATGCCTGTAAACCTCAATGAACTGGAGCAATGTTGTACAGAAGAGTGGGCCAAGATTCTTCCACAATGAGAGACTGATAACGTCATACAGGAAATAATTATTTGACATTTTTACTGCTAAAGGTGGATCCACAAACTGATGAATCATGGTGAGCTTTGCTTTTCACAGAGAATATAGACATTTGGGATTTTCAAAAGAATAATAGTATTCTGTTAAATGTCATCTGAGGTTCCAGAAAAATATGTTTCTAACCTGGTGTGCTTACCCACAACTTGTACCTCCATCAAAACAAAACAAAAATAATTTGGTAGCTTTAACTGAGATATACAAACCTTATTGACAAAGATGGGAATGCAAGTTGGTGAGATGTCACCTCACAGCATGACGTTTTTATGTTTTGAATCATTGACTGGATCTTTTCTATAAGTAATTTGCATAATTTCCTCATGGATTCTCCATAGGTATATCCTCCTAGTGGCCAAAAACATCCATTAGATTTGTTCATTGTAAATGGACCCCTTGGGCAGAGTGTGAGCATCAACGGTTGATTACCTTGTTTGCCTTTTTGTTAGCCTGCTGGTGGACTTGACCCAGGATGTACCCTGCCTCCTGTTTGATGGAAGCCTGGATCCGATACATGCTTGAATTTGACTGTACTGGTATGGAAAATTAATGTATAAATTAAGTCAACATGCCATGCACAGACAGAAAAGGCTTTAAAATAAAATTTAGAAAAAGTATTCTGAGGTAAACTAATACGCAAGTAGTTAAAACTGCTTTGCAGTTATATGTAAAATTTGGAGGTTAAGTAAACAAACAAAATATACGGAAAAAAACTATTATAAAGTGATGTAGAAAGAGGTAAGTTAGCAAAGTTGTTGGTATGTGCTAAACATATGTCGATATGTCAGGACATCAAGACACAGGAGAAAATGCAACATTTCTCCAGTGAAAAAATCACTTTTAGTTCAGCAACAAAGTCATCATGCATATTTACTTATTGCCTGTTTGGCAACTGAATTGCTGATATAAATGCCTTTTAATTAGGGAATTTTGAATGCATTAAGAAAATTAGTAAAACCTTCTTCATGCTATCAGGGGATGTGAACAAGCCGTTTTTTAAAGTTTTTTTTTTTTAGAACAGCCAGTATACGCTGCTGCAAAAAACTACAGCTGTCAGTTTTTCTTAATCACAATGTCTAAACTCTCCTGACATTTGGAGTAAAAATAAACACATTCAAGGAGGCAGAGTGGCAAAACCCAGCTGTTTTGGCAGGATATCTCCAAGATATGAAGAAGAAAAATATGAGCGATGTATTTGGAAGTACAAAACTTGGCATTTCAATCGTGTACTGATGGATTCAAGTAGGTGGTTTTTGGAAGAATGCTCTCCCACTTGGCATGCCTCACAATAAGCGTGCAGTTATAATCCACTTACCAGTTGTTAGAAATGCAATTTCATTAGTCAAAAAGATGGGCAAATCAAGGTCAAGAAAATGACTCAAACCATCTGACACTGGATTCTCTCTCGGTGTGTGCTCGTGTGCATTGTTTTGGTTGTTTTGTTTGTGGACTCAGGATGCTTTGACTGCTAAGTCAGGGAAGGCAAACAAAGCAAACACAGGACAGTCTGATCAATGATCTCCCAGAGTTCATTGGGAGGGCACATAGGGGTTTACCAAGGCTGGCTTAACCACCAAAGGAACAGAAAACCTCCATTACCTTCTCCTGCCTAGCCCACTGATGAGACACCAAACTAAGGTCAATGAAACCACCAACTAAAGATTGATCATCAGAACATCAAAGTCACTCATGTAAATCCGGCCTTTTTCAGACATCTGGAGTATTGATACCAACCGTTCCCTGAGGAGAGTTGCTGGTTAGAAACCAATATTCCTCATGGGGTGGGGGTTCTCTGACCCACCCTCTACAAAGACCAATAAAGTTTGAAAAGTATCTCATCGTGAAAGGGTTGAAAAGTTTAGTCATACCGTCCTCTGCAGGCCCCCCAGGTGAGGCTCCCTCAAGTTCAAAATGGGTTCATCGTACCAAAGTTACCTTGAAGGGCACATCTAAATGGAGCAACTTGTGCTTCAGATAGATCTACTGAGTACCTGAAACTAACTCATTGTTTCCATTTGGGGTGACAGTGGTCAATGGAAATATGATAAACAATTACACAAACAGCAAGTTCCCTTAACTCAGCGCATGACAGGCCCTGCGGCCCCTCCCCCTGTCCTGTCACTCCGTTGAGTATTTTGGTTCAGTTCCACTGCAGCATCCGGCTCTGTTGCGGTCTTGGTTTCACCTCCCACTTCCTTTTTTTGGCCCTGACGTGTTTCCGCCCCTGAATTAGAATCGACTCTTTCCACAGTAAGTTGTGATATCAGGCCGTCTTCCTTCTCTTGTCAACCGAGTTCGGAAACTGTTAAGAAATCCCCAGTGAGCTCAAAATCTGTCTCCCAAATCCTTCGCTTCAGACCACATGACGAGAGATAAGGGGCGACATCAAAACCAAGCAGCCAGTGCAACACAGAGAAAACAAATCTCAAACGTCGTGATAAGATAGAAGCAAAGAGGCCCGACTTATGCAAGCTTTGACGAATTTCTGCCATTTATTGGTGGGAAGATGCGGAAGCAATACAGACAAATTATTCTTTCTTCATTTGCTCCATCATTTTATGGCATCCTTCAGTCTTTGGAGTTCTGGGTGAGAAACTGCAAGGTGGCCACTGGCTCTCCCAGATTAAACCTTGTGATGAAGGCCGGAAAATCCCATTTACCTGAGAGGAAGAAGGAAAAACACAAATGTTCATTATCAGTCACAAAATACTTAAAGGGGGAAAAAAATCACGGTTTGCTACAGCTGACCAGAATACGACATAAATGAGGCACATTATGAGTGCACTCGATGGTGCATTGCTAGAGCTTTTCTTATGACCGCTCGGTCTGTGTTTAAGGGATCTGAGGCCTAACTGAGCAGCACATGGCTCTGGGATGTGAGTCACTGAGAACAGCACTGCTGAAAATAAAACATGTTGCTGTAATGATGGAGGTGGGAACGCAAGGACGTATTGGCAAGAAGATATGATTCAATCGCCTGGACTGTTTTTTTCTTCCCTCCCCTTTTAAACAAACACCAGACGGCCATCCGGCTGGTATGACAATATCACTTCTTAGATTTTGACAACCACTGATTCCCCGCAGCTTCCACTCCTTTAAAAAAAAAAAGAAAAGAAAAACAGAAAGGGGACAAATTCACAAGGATCATTCCAAGGAGAGAAAACCAAGTGTGCTTTAAACTTGCAAACTTACAAACAGATTCTAAAAAGAAAGAGTATCTGTCTGTCTGTCTGTATCTGCATATGTTTGAATGAGCATAAGACAATGCTTTGCTGCTTTGCTGCTTTAATCCAGGGAATCAGTGACATTCTGGTATTTCCGTGTGTGGAGTAATTATATTAACAGCTGCTGAAGAACAGCGATGGAAAGTTAACTTTTTTGAAAAGAAAGCCAACTATTGAAATGGTCCAAATCTTTAGAGAATGGCCTCACAGTTAGAGGTCAAATCTGACTGAGCCGGGACAGAAAAATTACAGCTTTTGACCCGATACTGCAGCTGCTTTACTGGCTCTTTGCTCGGCCTGTTTTTGCCATCAGAGAGTGCATGCTATATCCAGAAGACATTTGCCAGTGCCACGCACACCAGGTCCATTCAGCATCAACCTAGAAACAAATCAGAAAGATTGGCTCCAAAATAAGTGCCAAGTAATCACTCAACAATTTTGCTCCAGTGCAAACCACACGTTGAGCTCAAAGGCAGACACCGCAATATGTCAGGGTTCGCCACGAGCTCGGGTCAGGTTCTGAGCTCAGCTGGAGAGGACCATGAATAATTACTGCAAGATGAGCAGATGAGTGCCCGAATCTCGCCAGGTCCCCTTGTGTGAATGCGGATTGCCTGCAGAAAGGCCACCAATAATCAAGTGAGGGCAGTGAAGTCAAGTGACCCGTCTGTATGAAAGGGCATGGCCCCAGTGGCCCCTGCAGCCTGTGCTTCAGTTGCAGATAATGCACCGCCTCTGCAGATCCCTGAACTCCTCTACATGTCCACAACAAGGTCCATCAGCCCCTCAGAGGTAGCACTTTCGAAAACACTGAAGGGGGAGGCCGTAACTTCCACCAAATGCTGGGATATATCCCTTGAATTTGATGACATTTATATATAGATGACTCTCTTTTCCCTCTTCCAGAAAGAACTTGTACGAAAGTAATGTCAGGCAACGTACCCCGTAACAAGTATGCAACAGAGTCAAAATCAGGCAGCACTTGTCAGGCTTTACTCACATAATCCTGTCTAAAGCTGTGCAATCACTGGGTACAATCCAAATTGAGGAAAATTCACAATATCTGGTAGTATCACAAAGTCTGGTTGTCTGCAAATAGACAAGTGACCTTAAAATAGGCTGGTGCCTGTTTGTAGGGCGGAGACATGTTTCCACCTCTCCCATCTGCAGGCTCATGGAAAGGACTGATAGTGTGGGACCTGAGGGCGACGCTGAAGTCTTCCTGCCTCTCCTTTCTGTTTCCACCTTGCTTGTCTGTATGGGTATGGCAGAAGAATAAGGACTGCTGTGAGGTGACACAGAACTGCTACATTTAGTAGCGTAGGTGGTGTCCCTGTTAAATCTCTTACAGTGTCTTAGAAAAACCTAAACCCAATTGATAAGGTTTTTCCTTGCAGTCGACTCAGAAAAAGCCACATCACCTAAGACCTTCACCGAGGCTCTTCACACAAAGTCTGCAGCCATGCTGATGTATAATGCAATCTTATGTCCCAATGGGACTGCATTGGTCCATGTAACAATTAATAAGTGTTGACAAGGAATAAAAATTGTACGACCATACCCTAGGAAACATGGATTCAAATTTGTTTTATCAACTATATATTACAGAAAAAATATATTTAAAACATACCTCACACTGGAGAGAATGCGGAACCAGACAGTGTGTAGCATCTGCCCAGTAATTATTCATACAATTATGATACGTTCTATTCAATGTCTATTAAAAAGTCTGAACACACCTTTAAAATTAGTGGTTTAGGGTCATGAAATGAAAATCTAATAAGTAAAAATTCTGAAGAACGAAATGAGTAAATAAAACATTCAATTGTCGGATGTTACAGCAATTATCCATATCAATACATACATACGAATAGCAGATTTTAGTGATGATAGCAACTTCAGCTATAAATTAGGTTTCAATCAAAGTGGAAGATACTCTAAATACCCCTCATGGAATAAAAACTGCATGCATTTGTTAGGAGATGTATATAAGCAAAAATGAGCAAGAAATAAGCAAAAATAAGCAAAAAAAACTATGAAGACATTAAGAAAATCACAATTTCATTTTTATGCTCTAATTTAAGGCAAAATTTGAATAACTTTTTCCAACAAGTCGAGACACAGGAACTAAAAAAATAAACCCAACAGATACACATATATCACAAGCCAAAATTCATAGCATCAACATGTTCCTTTAAGGCAGTGGACTTCTGGCTGAAACTCAGGCCTGCTGTAGCAACCAAACCCTGGCTCTCTTGACTCCACGCAGCTCTGATTAATGGTAGAGGCAGTGGGTGGGTGGTAGACATGGATCTGCCCATTACCACACTGCAACATTGCAAATGGCTTCAATTACTGTGGAGTGTGCTGAGCTGGCAGTAGGGGCTCCAGGAGGCAAGATGAGCAACGGGTACGATTCCAACGCCTAACTCCTCTGTGATCTGTTCATTCACACAACCTGAGCGGCGCACACATCCCGTCTCGTGCTATTTACGGTGACGGAAAATGAAAGAAGAAAGGTAAGAGTGATCAGACTGATTTTTTCTTGCCGTTGTCATTTTCAACCCATGTCCTAAACAGGTATTTTTTTTCTTTGTGTTCTTCAGCTTTTGTTTTTTGACCGATGGAAGCTGATGAGGTTCGAGTCAGGAGACGGAGGGCTGGATGTGTGAACAGTGTATGTGCAAACTATCATGAAGACTGAAACGACACTAGGCAGCCCCTTTCAAGGCCTCGGGGCTTCCCTCCCGGCTTTATAACACTGTTTCCCTTGACAAACTGACTTGTCGGCACCAAACAGTAGCAGGACATATTAAGGGCTTGCCAAGTGGCTGACAAGTATCATGAGGGCCTGAGCGCCCACGCCTGCCCCCCCCCCCCCCCCCCCCCCCCCCCCCACCCTGGCAGAGGGGCAGCCTCCAGTCAGGGACAGCCTTCCTGAGCCAGAGCAACGGGGATTCCCTATGATAATGCCCCTGTGTCCAGTGCCAAGAGCACAGCCCCCCTGTAGATACTTGTGTAACAAACCAGCTGGCTCCATCAGTTCACTGACCCACATTCATAACCTTCACCCAGGAGGCAGAGCAGACTCCCACGGTTCCTCACAACAGCCCTGCTCCACCTCTAATTGTTCATTCCCTTTATTACTTAAGTGGTGATCAGAGATGAAAAGAAAAAAGACAACAAATCTAAGCTTAAATTGAGTCAATGGCTGCACTACTGGAAGTGGAAAATGATCATTAGGACTCTCCCACCCACGACTAAATGCTCTCCCATCACAAATCACATCAATTAATGTCATGGGCTATGAAAAATGCTCTCTGTGTCATACCACATGGAGGGAGGACAGACGCTAATAAGTGAACATACTTAACGGAGGAGGTAGGGAGACATGGGATTCCCTCTGTTCTTCTTGTGTGAGCATGAATAACGTGCTCTTGGCTACGAGGAGGCCGGCGCGGATGCAGCAGGTACACCATGAGACACCAAGCCCCGATAATGACTGTAGAATCCAACACGTGTTCCTGCTCACGAAGCATGACAGCACCTTCGTGCTCAGCCTGTTTCACAGGATCTCTGATGTCTTTACATGGACAGTTAGCTGCCTCCGAATGAATCAAAGTGTAACATTTGATTATCCAAAAGTGAATTTTGTAATTCGATTTCCCCTGAACGGGTGAGAGTTTGCGGGAGAGAGGAAGTGCTACAGCGGGAGTTAAACTCTTCCTGCAGATTGAGGATGGGTGGATCCACTTTGTCCAATCGCTTCATAATGTGCAGGCAGCTACTGAATTGGCGCTTTTTATTTCCCCTCAAAAAGTATAATGTTAAATATTTCAAATGGAAAGCCATTTCTTCTTTATCTTCTACAGCTTGAATATTAGTAACATACTGAATACCCCCAAACTGTGCTGAGGGTTCATATCCACCTATCCAAATGTGAGTTGGATACACAATATTCAAAGTACAGTTTCTTTTGACATGTCTTTTTCCAAAAGTTTTGACATCAAACAGACTTCAGCCTAATGTGCCTGGATTGTTTGCTGACGAGGCTGTCAAAACTTCAAACAGCAGAGACTGGCAGCTCCCCTTATTCACGGCCGTAGCGCTTGAAGTCTCAAACCGCCCTGATCTCCCCTCAAATCACAGGCTGTGACCTGAGTAGAACAGACAGAGAGACACGCCTCCCGTGAGGTGCTGTGCTATGAATCCCAGTGATGTTTTCCCACCTTCCCACAGACTTCAATGCATGCAAAAGTGAAAAAATTAAAAATTATAAAAAAAAAAAAAGTATAAACAAAACAATAACTCTTCAGGACAAACAAGGCTGACTTCTAAGAGACACAAAACAAAGATATGGTAATGATATCAGCATTAATCGCGATTAGGAGCAAACCAACTGCATGTGTGTGAAGACATCTTTGATTGAGTTCTTCTTTTTTGGGCAGAGGTTAACAGCGCATGGCCGTTCAGACTGGTGCAGGTGCTCGTGGGAGACAGTTATACTTGTTTTGACCCTTTAGGCATTAACACAGCAGACTCACTCTCTAACCTCATTAACATTTCCTTTGTTAAGCTCTAGCACTTGGAGAAAAATATCTATGAGAAGCAACTCCAAATCGTGGGATTAAAACCTTGTAATGGTGAAAATGAGGAGTCCAGACAACACAAAGCCACGGATATGTTGTTCAGTAGTCAAAATGATTGAGTGAGTGATGCTTTCTCCTTCCTTCAGTGATGCCCTGCAGTTGTGTTGATAAAAAGACAGGTTTTGGAATATGAAAATGCAGGTGAACAGAATGATTACCACGGGATGATCTCTCCTGCTCAGTGAGGACCACTTGTGTGTGTGGAGGCTGTTCAAACAAAATGAACTGGTAGCGGTGGAAACCAGTCTTCTTTGGTGGGGTTGGTGGATGGTATTCTGCGGGTAAGAAGGAATTATACATAACCACAGATTGACTGCCAGTTTTTAATACTATTATCATTCTCACATTTTATTACACTAATAAAATTGTAAGCATTCATCTATCACTGTGGGTAATAAGCAGTTCATGACACTTACATGCATGAATCCTCTTTAATTATTACTCACATTGCACGAAAGAAAGATTACCAAACTGCATTGGAAAGGGTGATGATAGAGTATCTCTATGTGCGTGTAAGTAATTTAGTGAAAATGATGCCCTTTAAACTCAGACAGAAGTTCGATAATAAGTATATTCTGTATAAAAGGGGTAACATAGTGTCAACTAAAAAGTTCAACATAAGTTACAATAAAGTATTGGCAAATGGAATAAACTAATTTAAATTGAAAATATTAAAAGTTATTGCTTCAATAGTCCAAATAAATAGGGTAGATTTACTACTGCACCCTGTGCTGTATTCAACATAAATATGAGAGCTTAATTTAGCCAATTTAAATAAAATGGCTACTCTTACCAGTGAGAGTTGTCCCTTGTAGTTTTCCTTTCTTGAGCGCAGAGCCCTGGTGATAAAGTGATATCAGACATAGAGGCATTCAGACATATCATAAAGGACAGTCAGGTCATTTTAGTAACGCTAACTGGTGAAAAATCGTAATAATATAACAATGTAGCGACAAAGGCAATGCATTGGCTCATTATAGTATTTCCTCCAAATTGTGCCACTGCCTCCTTAGTTTAATGTTCCCACAGACAAATGTTTTGAGCTCACTCAACTCAGTCCAGAGTGCAAGAGGAAAGCTTGAAAGCTCATTAATTACCTGGAAAATTACAGTTTGAGTGTATTCCTTTGCAATAAATCACACAAAAAACTGACACCTGACCCCTGGTTTTAGCATTTATGGTTTAAAAATAAAACTGACTGATACAAGTGCCCTTTCAATGTGAAAAAATAAAATCTCAGACAAAGAACAGATCTCTGGCAAATCAAACAACCGGCAGGATTACTATGTTCCCATATTATTAATTGTATATTAAATTCTTTGTTGCCTAGAAACAGGTATCACATAACCCAGCATGAGGCATGTGTATTTTTCATAATTGTTTTTTTTTTTATTATCGTATATTTGTCAAGTTGAACTCCCTCATCCTCAGGAAGCACACAGTCAGACACTTTGCACTGCAAACTGCACACAGACATGTTTGCTTAATATACTTGGTTATTTACAGTGAGATGCCTGCATCCTCGAGTGGGAGGAAAAGGACTAAATATGCTGTCTGTGAAATGGCCCAAAACCCACTTGAGGTAAGTGTGGAAGTCCCCAACACAGACGCGGAGCATGTGGTCTCGGCACCTCAGACACAGTTGTGTCCTCTTTTCTCCAAGCACAGGCTCCCCCCACAGGGTGACAAAGGTAATGTGTTACTAGTCAGCAAAGTAGGACAAAAGAAAAACAGGATAAAGTGTTTTTTTTCTTGTTACCTTTTATCTTTCCACTGAATATTCACTAAAGACTGAGCTTAACTGAAAATAAGGACAGGAACACTTAACTTATATTGATGTGGATTTGACCAACTCTGGACGGTTACATTTTTTTCCATCTTGGAAGCAGAAACATGATTATTTTGCACCTGGTAACTTTGGCATTATCTCTCAAAGCGAATAAATGCATTGCATTGCAGTAAAGAAATTTAGAAAATTCTATACAGCTACTCATCTTTAATTAGATCTTTCTTTTCTGATAGAAGTAAAAAAAATGTATAGCACAGAATATCAGAGAACACCAATCACTTGATTTTTCTTGGTTTGTACTTCCATATTTGTTGCCGACAGCCTCTGATGTAATCTGCAATAATACTCTTGACTTGTTTCTATCATGGCCAATGCTGGAGTTTTCCACTTATAAAAGCATACAGCAGATTGACTGGGATACATATGCAGGCAAATCAGTAAGAATTTCAGCAGAACTTAGGCACATGTTGTGATTGTGCATCTTCTAATTTATAATCCTGTAAGTTCTGTTTAGGATGTTAAGCAGAGAGTCTTAAAGTGTTTACACTGCCTGATGCAGAATCCAAAGATTAGTTTCAACTGTAAGTATCTTCATCCACAGATCAGTGCGAAAAATATCTTTATTTAGAAATAGCAAGAGTCCTGCTGCCTGCAGAATCCAAACCGATTGCCATAGCAACAGGTAGTCAACATTGGAGCGTGCAAACATTTTCCCACATCTTAATGCTTCATTCTCACTCACTCTCCATGGCACCTCTTGCCCTTTTAATTTCAGTATAATGCATTCAGTTTAAACAACAGCATATGAAAACAATACTGAAATCTAGCCAAATAATTGAAGCCAAGTCCAAAATCATGCAGCTCTAAGAAATCTCTACATATAATGATACGTGTTCAGCTTAGACATCTCCATTAAAACAAGATTCAAATGAACTGGTCTGAATCGGACTGGAATTAGAGTTAGAATTGTGGCTTAAAGTGGCATAAAGTGGCTAACCTGTGTTGTGAGGTGACATGATTTAAATAAACTGAACTGAGTCAAAATGAGGTGATGATTTATCTTTTGGAGAGCAGAGCTGGTATTCCAGCGGTTGTGACAGGGTGGGGCGGTGTTGAGGTGGACTCAGTCACACTAATCTACGGGACACTGTCGAATGGTGGGCGGCGTCTCTCTGGGGCCGCACCGTGGGGGTATGACAGAGAGTATGAAAGGTGCTGTCCATTACATGACTGACATATTTTTCATGTGTAAATTGTGCTGGGTAAGAAATAAATAAGAAGTGATGAGGTAAAGTGTCTGCAGGGAGTTTAGTCTGAATGTGACTAAAAACTAATGCCCACCAGCAAGCCACAAATACACACATCAGTTCTTCATGCACACCCATACATTGTATTTCTTAGGGTTAGGTTTAGAGTGACATTATGGAATTCAGTATAAAAGAAAACAGAAATAAATGTATGGATTTAACAGCATTAATGCCATACATTCAAAATTGAGGTGAAGATTGATAATGAACATATTACTGAAAAATTGCTTCAATCTCAGAGATAACAGATAAAGCTAATCCTATTTTTTTTCCAGAACATTTCATAAAGTAGCATACTATTCTTTAAGGTTCTTAGTTCTATTACATTAATTTCATAAAGCTTTTTCTCCTACCAAATTATAAAGTTTAAATTACCTGCTTTGAGTTAATGTAACTAATCAGAAGTTATGTAAATGTAACTCTGTTTTCCCTCCTCATGTTAGGGAACAGCTCATTCTTGTAGACCTAATTGTGTTAACAAACTAAGCAGTGTGGGAGAGGCACTTAATGGAGGAATACAAATTGAATGCCACCATGCATCTTTGATAAAGGAAAATACCTTTTAAAATTTCTACATAGAGGCTTGTTACACAATTACGACTTCAGTTGATATAAAGTAAGACAGAAAAGGAAAGGCAAGCAGCACTTTGACTGGATTGTAAACAGTACATGGCACAGCAGTACACCAGGTCAAATATCAGAGTCTCACTTATTTGACAGTCAAGTCTGACTAAAATATCACACATGAAGATCAAAGGTGGAATATCTGGGAGTCATTGTCAGTTGTAGATGGCCTAACTGTCTTCTAACTGTCTTCTACAGGTGAAAATGACTATCTACTCTCACATTGGTCAGAGGCTCAGAATATAATGACTCTAAACTGGAGGAGCCTTTCTAATGACAGGTGAAATGTTGTAATGATCCAAGAAAAGGTCCAGTTGCTTTTGCTCATCTCTACTTCACCAATTACGCGTAGCTCATCTAACCACGGCAACAAGTTTCTTTTTTTAATTTAAACAATAAAATGATGAGTCTTCATTAAGGCATTCTACTTTGAACTTTCATTAAGTCTATAAATATACAGTATATGTGACAACAAGGGCAAGCAGTAAATATAGACACTTCCTTTCAAATAGGAGGCTACAGTTCACAACACTGTTAACAGGAAGCATGGCATTCTGAAATGACTTTTATGTTCCTCAAATATTTCTTTTTCAGTCACTATTCAGTCGGTATAAGAGCAAGTTCCCGTGACAGATATCCCTTCTAAATGATGTGTTTCCAGCTGCTGATGTTCATCCTTTGCATTCCACCTCTCTCTCTCTGTTGTTTATCCTCACATAGTTTGCTTTCATGTTTTACTGACTATTTCACTCTCTGACTCAAACAAAGACAGTAAGATCCCAAACAACCTACACAGTATGAGCGATGAATAATACTAAAACTGCAGAAAAGGCTGCGCAGCAGAGCCTTTTGTGTGGGTCACGTAATAGCCTAACACTCCTACCAGCAATTTTCAAATGTTGCTCTCTCCGGTATGTAGAGCAGGACTGTGGCCTCCCTGGAGCAGCACGTTCTACATAATCATCATAATTAGTCCGAATTAGTTCGACCATTACAGAGGTATCAGTAACACGATGAAGTGATTTTAAATAACAATAGAGGAGACACCACAACAGCTCCAGCTGCTCTCTAAGTGTCTACGAACAGGTCTGAAAGAGTGACAAGACTTCTCGCTTTATGACAGGCGATGAGCAGCGGATGTGCAATGGGTCCACATAACTTCCGTTAGGAATCCCCTGACAAGAGCCAATAGGTAGGAGTCCACACAGAGATAGTGGGTGGGTGCAGGGGTGCGATTTCAGCAGGAATACCCGCTTGCCCAACAACCCTCTTCCTTCTCTGTGTGGGTGAGTGCTTCCCTTTGTCAGCAAGAGTTACTCATGCACCTCCTTGTATATCTACTGCTTCCCCCTCCCTTGCACACCCTGTAAACCCACACCTACGACAATCAGCACCCACGTTCTTCTAATGCTGTTCTGAGAGCATCATTCTCCCTTTTACTTGCAGTCAGGCTAACAGACGGGGAGAGAGAGCATGACAGATGGTGTTCACAGCTCTATTTCTGAGGCTGGACTTGTACCGCCACAGCCATCCCTCCCCTTCCTCCCCCTCGCCTATTCCACTCAAGCCAAGTGCTTATG